TGTCACAATCACTAGTCTGTCACAATTACTGAGCTGTCACAATCAGTGGTCTGTCACAATTACTGGTCTAACAAAATTACTGGTCTGTCACAATCACTAGTCTGTCACAATTACTGAGCTGTCACAATCAGTGGTCTGTCAAAATTACTGGTATGTCACAATTACTGAGCTATCACAATCAGTGGTCTTTCAAAATTAATGGTCTGTCACATTTCTGGTATGTCACAATTACTGGAATATAAAGATGACTGGTCTGTCATAATTACTGCTCTGTCACAAGCAATGGTCTGTCACGAATACTGGTTTTTCACTATCACTAATCTGTCACAATAACTGATCTTTTATAATCACTGGTCTGTCAAAATTACTGATCTGTTACAATCACTGGTTTGTCACAATTACAGGTCTGTCACAATTACTGATATGTCATAATCATTGTTTTTATCAAATAAAGGGTCAAAAGATATGTATAATGTTTTTTATTAGAAAAAAATAGTACAAGGCCTAGCTGTGAAGATAAATGGTCTCTAAGATTAAACAAAAAAATTGATTGGAAAAAAGTGCATAATATGTCTTTCTACACCACAAAAAGCTCTAAACTTCATTGGTTCCAATACAGAATAGTACACAGAATCATAGGCACAAATGAATTTTTATTCAAAATTAAGATAAAACAAACAGATAAATGTACTTTCTGTAATGAAGCTATTGAAGATATTGAGCACATATTTTGGACATGCTATAAAATTTCAGATTTATGGATTAAACTTGGTGATTGGATTTATAACCAAACACAAATATTAATTCCATTTAATATAGATATTATCTTATTTGGAAATTTAAGTAACAAAGGAAATAATATGATAAAAAACTTAATAATACTCCTTACAAAATTCTATATTTATAGAACAAAACTCTGTGAAAATAAGGTAAATTTTACAGGACTTAAAAATTACCTCAAAGAATCTCTTGCACTAGAAAAGAATATATTTTTTAAAAGAAACCCTTTTCATATGGCCAATATCTGCTGGGACCCCTGGCTTCCAATATTAGAGGAATAATGTTTTATTATACAAAAAATAGGTACATTGTGTACCGGAATTACTTTCACTTACATTTCTTTACCTTATCCACATCACCATCCATGTTATGATTTAATACTATTATATGTTGGTTTATATGTATGCTTGATGTTTTGTCTATGTTTATAACTACATTTATGGTCCTCTTAGTTATTGCCTGTACGAAAATAACTGAAAATAATCCTTTGAAAGCTGTATTATGAATGCTGTAAGTCAAAATTACTGTTACAATCACTGGTTTGTCACAATTACTGGTCTGTCACAATTACTGATATGTCACAATCAGTGGTCTGTTAAAATAACTATCATCGGTGTCGTCAAAATTTAGGTTCAGTTTTTTTCTTTTTTTTGTTAGATAACATTTTTGAATAACTTTGTCAAACCTTCACGAAATTTGGAATTATATGAAACTTGGAAAGAAACTTCTTCTTGCTAAAGAGGTAGCATCTGGAGCAAAATATTTCGAACGTATCTTTTTTTTAATTCTGTTAATTTTCAATATTTTACTGACCTGACTTTTTAGTTAACATTTAGATATAATCTAGGGTGAAATTTGTTTACATATCCATAACATTTTCAAACCTTCATGGAATTCATTATGAAGAGATAACACCCTGAGCAAAAGTTTTCTGTATTTTGCTGATAAATGGACTTAGTTCTTTTGTCAGTCAACAAAACACTTTCGCATCGTCAGAAGTAGCAGGAGGGAAACATGCAGGGTTCCAATGAACCCTTCAAAAGTTGTTTATGCGGCGTTCATTAGAGACATAAAAAGGTCTAAGCGATTTCGTTTTTCAAAGCTACTTTTAGCCAAAGACTTCCCGACACTCAACCACCTAACTACTCGATTTTATCTATCTTCACTTCTACTTTTTAAAACTACCGTCACTGTAGTTATTCTCGAAATTAAACAAACGTTTACTTGTTGTTCAAGCTAGAATTTGTTACATTTGTATGTGCGTGTCCAATATTTTTTAGTCCCTGTATATATAGAAGACTTCATAAGAACTGTTGGTAAAACTTATGCTCGATCCTTTGTATATCACAACATAAATGGAACACTATGATTTACGATGTGATAATGTTGGGTACCTATTTATAATTTGTCATATCTTTGTTTTGGGCTTAGGAAACAATCATGGAATTCATATTGGAGATTGGTCTAGATCACCCATCTACTGATATGGCACATGCTGATTTGTGCACCATTAGTCTGCCAGTTTTGGCCCTATGTAGAACAACTAAAGTTGCTTACGCATTCTTTGAAGAAAAAAAATCGATGACTTGTATCTTCACAACTCCTATTTCGGCACTACACGCAGTCGAATGGTACATGTATGTAATTTAAAAAAAAGCATTTACAGTTGAATGACACATTTTTAGATCCTCTTCGTCACATTTATCATTGGTCCGTGACCTATCGTGTGATCCTATGTTGGTGGCATATGCGGTATATCCACTTCTATGTAATGTCAAAACCGGAAAGTGATCAGCAGAAATAATATAAGTATCTATATTAACGTACCATGGCTAGATGTTATAGTTACAATATGATCGATTATTATTATTATTATTATTTACAATATTTATATAGCCCATTATCTAATTGAAATTACTCTAAGCGCTTAACATAAAAACAATCACTGCAGTTAAAAGAGGTGTTTAACATTAAAATCAAAACAATGAGAATGAATTAAAATTTTGAACACTTATGAAAAAAAAAGGAAACAGAACAATTAAAAGGCATATACTGAAACGGAAAGAACAAAGATAATAGTTACTATCAGTTTAAGAAGTTAAATGTAATCACTAAAAGCTAGTCTAAAATAATGTTTTTTCAATTTTTCTTCAAAAGTTTGATGGAGTGTTTATGTCTTAGATGGCTAGGAAGATCTGAGAAAATGTTCCACGATGTTCACTGAGATGCGTAAATGTACAATAATTTTCACCCAAGTATTCAGAATATCAATAACAACAATGATAATTCTGATCAAATATAAAAATTTCAAACCGTGTCATTTCCGAATAATGTATATGCAGACCCGGCATTCCAATCACAAGCAACAATAACGTTTAGTGTATCTGATTCTTCAATATTATACTATGTATTTTATCAAGATACAGCATATATCCAGCATAATCAATAACTATCATGACAATCATATGGTGAATAAATATTAACTAATGATAACTTAAACATATCTACCTGTAGTCTTTTGTCATTATACTCTACTATCTTACATTTGCAATTTAAAAATCCTTGCGCCATAAAATAGCTTGGCCGTCAATAGGTCTGGCCCAATGTACAATATTAGAATTAGTAGATAATATACCTTTACCAAAAAACATTCCGGATGTAAACTATTCAATTTGGGTAATTCAAAGTCATATGACCAATTTTCTTGTTCAAGGCAAATATCATTATAACTTAATAAATCAATTACAGAATTACCATTCAGATTAAAAGATCTAGAGTTATATGGCACAATATTTAATAAATTACCTTTTGATGATTTCTGTTCTTTATATTTCTATCTATCTATAGTAGTTTTTAGATTTTTATCTATCTATTATAGTTTTCAAGGTAAAAGGCAAAATACCCACACAAAAAATCGTAAAAAAAAGAGATTCGTCATTTAAGGGCAATAACTCCTATAAAGAGTCGACCAACAATTTCATTAATATCAACTTTAATATTTGTATAGATCTTGTCTTGGATCATTTTTGTTTAAAAAAAAATTCTATCTGTCTATTAAAGTTTCCAACAAATGATTGACAAAGACACACAAAATTGGTAAAAATCGTCATTTCAAGGGTCGTAACTCCTATAAATAGACAACTGTCGATTTCAACAATATGACTTTTTTGTAGGCCATGGTTTGTCGATCATTTTTGCTATCTAAAGTATCTTTCTATCTATCTATCATGATTTTCAAGATAATATACAAGAACGCAAAACATTGGTTAAAATCCTGAACAAAATGCAATAACTCCAATAAAAAGTTGACTTATTTGTAGATCTTGTCTTGTTGATCATATTTTCTTTAAAAGTTTCTCTCTATCTATTATAGTTTTCAAGATAAAAGACAAAGTGAAAAAAATTGGTATATTTCGTCATTTAAGGGCAGTAAATCCAATAAGAAGTCGTCTGAAAGTTTTGATGTAACTGGACAGAAGGTTGATCTCAACCTGGGAACAGTATTATACTATATCTATATATATATGTTCCTGTCTCAACATTCTGAACATTTATGCCCCAGTATGAATTCAATGATTGTTTCCTATGCCCAAACAAGATATGAAAAACTTTTGTGTTGCGGAAAATTCATTTTCATACCTTTCCTGTCCACAGTTATTTATTTTCAGGTCTTACCAGGACAGGATATTCATTTTCAAAATCATCACCCCACAGAAAATCAAACGGTCGTCCCCTTATAAATATGATATCATCTGATTCAAGTTTTAACTATGATTTTAAAAGAGCTCTGACTATAATTGAACTCACGGTTAATATTTTAACATTTCGTCAGTGATGTTTAGACAGAATATTTTGTGTCATGTATTATTTACATGGACCTATTGAGTCCATGGGCGGATCCAAGGGGGGGGGGCCTGGGGGGCCCGGCCCCCCCTTTCGTGAGAAAAATTTGGTTGATTATATAGGGAATCACTGAAGCATGACTGGAGCGGGCCACCCCTTAGGTCAGTCAGCGGGCCCCCCCCCCCCCCCTTATGAAAAGTTCTGGATCCGCCACTGGTCATTCTGAAATAAAGATTATCTTATCCAGAGACATATATACACATATGTGTATATATGTCTCTGTCTTATCTAATATGATCTTATATGATTTTTAAAATAAAGGAAAGTGCGGGAAAAACTAATTTATTGTTAGAGTTATCTCCCTCCGTCGAGTTCTTCAGTAATGACATATTTGTAAACATACAAGACGTCTGATCTTCACATGAATTTGCATACTTTTACCTGGAAAATATGTAAAGTTTAGACCAAAAGAATACAAGATACTATGCCAGACTTTAAACTTATAAGGAAAGGTAACAGAATTGCTTATTTTATGGTAATTTTATTACCACAAAGAGTAAAAAAATAACATCCGTAAAAAAAGAAAAAAAAAACGTAAACAAAGCCTTTGAACCTGAACAACACCAAAGAATTTATGGTGCAATCGATTTAAGTGATGTCATTTATAAATTTGAAAATAATGTCTATTCTAGAAAATATGATTAATTTTTGGAATTATGACGTGTCTTCCTCATTACTTGTCAAATGAAAGTAGAATTGATTCTGTACATGTATATGAAATTGTCACAGTGACACAATGCAAAGTTTCACTGTGGATTTTAACACATTACACACATCACCTTTCTAAGCCAAATTATAAAGATTGTAAGTTATATTTATATATTTCAACTTTTTTGAATGACCTTCATTTTTAAATTTGTTACATAATCAAAAACATTTGGTGAAAGGTGCCAATTAGTTAGCAAGGAACTGTCTACCAAAAAGATCATTCATGGTTTTGGACTTATTTGCCTTTTCCCTTGATTCACAACCTTGCATAATTTCATATTCCTGCATTTAATGCTTTCTACTGGATGGATGGCTGATTAACATCAAGTGGCAAATACAATTCATATTCTGGAAGAGAACATGTTAGTGGATATGAACCTTACTGTGTACTAAACCGACACACTGAGTTGGACTTTTAACATGCTAGTTCACAAGGTAACAGTCCGCCTGAATACATGTCATCCTACTGAGGCACATCAGTTTGACTCCAAGCTGACCAGTTTTTGCTCTTACTCCTTAAAGCAGGGTGCTTAGCAGAGAAGCAGCAAATACCAATTTTACAGTCTTTGGTTTGACCTGGCCTGGGTTCAAACCCGCAACCTTCCACACTCGAGGCGAACGCTCTACCATGAGACCAGTGAGGTGTACATGTATTTGTTTACATCCTAGTCCTTTGGCCTTTGTTCGATAGATGTCTCATCAATGTGCACTGTATTTTACAGGGTGGAGGGGCATGAAGTGTTACCTTTGACCGTATGTCTTTCCATTCTTCTGTCTTTCCGTCCATCAATCTTTTCGTTTTTCCATCCATCCATCTTTTCATCTTTCTGTCCCATTTTCGTTTGTTTGAAGCTTGAGTGGGGCATTTGTGTCCTCAGATACATTATTCTATCATTTTTTTACATCCATGTCCTTTGGTGGATAGACGTCTTGTTGTCAATGTGTCCTGTATTTGTTTACATCCTTGTTCTTTGGTCTGTAGTGAATAGATGTCTTGTTGTCAATGTGTCCTGTGTTTTTATTTTTACATCCTTGTACTTTCACTTTTGGTGGATTGTTGTCTCATTGTCAACCATACCCGATTGCCAATGCCTTATTTTTATATTGTCCATGTTTTGTTTTAGCTTTGTATCTTGCTGTTCTGTTTTATTATGGCCATGGGTTTTACAATCTTTTGAAAATATTGAAGATGTTGGTATCATTTCCATTGTGACAGCTCACATGTGTATGTATACTTTATGTTATATCAGTTAATGTTACATTCGATTAAAGTGCAAAGATGTATTACACACACATTTATTACGAATCTAGTTTCAAGTTTGATTATAAGAGTGGTATATTTTAGGAGAACAACATCTGAAGTATTGAGAAATAAAAAGCTATCATGTTGTATGTGTTCCATGTAGACACAGGGACTATGATGACATTTGACATGAAACTGGCAATGGAAAGGTATGTTTGATAAACTATGAATAAAAAATAGTGAGGATACCTTAAATAAGAAAGTAAAATATCATATTATTTGCTGAAATTTGTTTGTGTTTAAATAGCAACATTTATTTAGAATAAGGATATGTTATTTAATAAACAAGTATGTACACTTATGTAGAATGTGTATCTGTATGTTTGTGTCAGTTATTAAAAAAAAGAGGTATGTATATACATGTATTTATCAAAATAAAACAAAAGTATGTACATGTACATTAAACACAAGTGAATAGCTAGAGCCATATCAGCTTTTAAACTTTTGAAACATAGCTTCATTTGTTTAAATGATGTCAGTTTGATTCAATTTCCTTATATTTATAATGAGATAATTTAAAAATAAACTTTGGTTAAGAAAACAGGAGGAAACTATATTACTTAAATAAATGTCAATAAGAAATTTTCTTTGAGTGGAGTAAAATGGTATTCAAGAAAGAAATCGAATTTCATGATAAGAATTGTAAAGCCAAAGTGATTTCAATATTAATGGTCATTATTTCAGTGTGGCAAACTTGCAGCATGCTATTGCCAGAGAATATCCCATTCCAGAGGAAAAGCAAGTGTTGTTAATAAGTGGAGGAGAAAGTTTAGATCCTGTTGCCACGGTTGGAAAATATCATGCTGGAACAGTAAGTATCTACTTTTAAAAGTAGAAGTCATGTATGAATAAATTATATGTTATATATTCATAGCTAATGATTCAGTAATCTGTAAATCATAACTGTTTTAAAATAAATCAAAAGTTTTATGCTATTAAAGATGATAAATATTTAATGACTTTTATTATGGTTAAGGTTCAGTGCAAATTATACTTGTTAGTACCATTTTTATTTTTATTAGATCAGTTAGTTTTATTTTTAATAACATACATCTGCATTGTATGTATATCACTTTATGTAAGAACTTATGTAGGTCTTCCATCAAAAGTAGGTCTGTCTGGTCTTCATTTAATGCTTCATTAGTTTTACATACTAGTTCAGTTAAAATTAATTATGTACCTTATAGTTATATATATAATCTAATACAGTGACACATCAAGTTAAAAGTCATTATGACAAACATTTCCTTATCATATTTGAACTATTTTACTTATTAGTTTTAACTATTAAGCATGTAACTATGTATTATGATGAATTTACTTTACAAAAATTAAAGTGCTTTTTGTACAGTTCTGTTTTATGTTGATTGCTGTGATATTAAAATGTTTACATAAAAACACTTTTTAGCGATCACCAAACACAGACAGCATAGAGAAATAATGCTTTGTAAATGGTTGCCTCTTGGATAGTAATAAATTGCTTAACAAAAAAGTAGGTCATCCTGACCTACATTTCATTCCTAAATCATTCTGTTTGTAAGTTTAAGTTAACAACTTCATATTTGATAGGAATAATATTTCTTCATAGAACACCTTTTAGGTAGTTACAGTGCATATGAAATTTTTGTCACTTTATGCATGACTGACACTGGTTAAGATCCATATCTATACAGATATTTGCCATAGATATCATCATTTCTGCAAACTAAGTCATTTAAGGTTAAACAGATGAGATGATCTTGCTTGTGACAGGTTCATTTTCTTTATATTTTGCACAACAATTTTACATTTCAGGATACAAATCCAATTTTTCTGTTCAGTAAAACTACAATAGAGTCACTGCATCCTCCATCACCAAGTGTACACTATGGGTCAGGTATGAAAATTAGTATCATTTGACTGTATACAAGTGAACCAGTTTGTTCCCTACCCTGATCAGCTTTATTTGACTGTATACAAGTGAACCAGTTTGTTCCCTACCCTGATCAGCTTTATTTGACTGTATACAAGTGAACCAGTTTGTTCCCTACCCTGATCAGCTTTATTTGACTGTATACCAGTATAAACTGTTCCCTATCCTGATCTATGATCGTTTCCCATTCAAACATTCAAAATCCCACTTTAATGTATATATTCATCCAAAACATATTACCACTTGTTAGACTGCAAGTTCATTGAGAAAAAGGGTCTTTAATAACTGAGGTTTATAGTAAGCAGGATTTTTGCCATTAAAAAAAGAATTATTTCTTGAATACTTCTATGTTTTTTTCTGTTGTCTGTGATTATGATCTTACTCAGTCAATTTGCTGTATCAGTAGATTGAACAATTCTTATGTTACAGATGTAGATATACAGAGTCAAGTAGAAGGATCACTTCTGATGCCCCCAGCATATGGAACAGTTGTTTCCAGAGCACAGTTAGCTTTGGTAAGTTTTTTTATTTTATTTTTTTAGCTCACCTGGCCGAAACATTAAGTGTTACCCTTGTCTGTCTGTACGTATGTCCCTAAAATTGGTTTCCGTTCTTTAACTTTAGTTTGCCTCAACCAAATGTTATGATACTTATACACAGTGCTTATTACCACAAAACACAGATCAAGTCTGAATTTGGGTGGCATCACTTTTACCATTCTAGAGTTATGCCCCTTTGCAAATTGAAAATTGACTGAATTTTTCATTTCCTTTGTCTAACTTAAGTTTGCCTCAACCAAATGTTATGAAACTTATACACAATGCTTATTACCACAAAACTCAGATCAAGTTCAAATTTGTGTGGCATCCCGTATATTGTTCAGGAGTAATGTCCTTTTATAACATTATATGCAAGTGGGGGCATCATCTGTGTCCATGGACATTCTTCATTTATTTTAAAATGCATGTAGACAATTAACGGGCTATATATCTGACCTGTAGTCAAGTCCCTATGGTTCAGGCGACAGGTAAACTATTTTGTACTGGACATTGATTGGTCTATTTAAAGTTATTTTCTTAAATTTCAGCAGTTTGCATCTAATTAATTTAGTCAAACAAATTTAGATTATCAAAAAGAAATAAATAAATATGAATTGATGAAAAATTTAAAAAGTTAGTAATAAAGGTTTTAGGTGAAAAATCGTCAGAATCATGTTGTTTAAACTAGTACACGTGAGCACAGGTGTGAGATTTAAATATGCATCTGAATTCTTTTAAAATCTGAAATTATCATTGATACTTTTATCTAACATTTCCAGTATTTTCTTTAAGAAATAACTACTTTACTCAGTCATGCTTCATAAACGTACACAGATTTTACGTATCCGTCTCTGGTCTGTGTTTTACCATTGTCAAGACAACATATTGTACAGTATTAAGAAAATGTGCTTTTTAAAATCGAAAGTAAAGTTTTTGACAACATAATTTTGCACAAATATAGATTCTAAGGCAGATATTAGTATGCTAGTGTTGCACACTCGAATGATGAGCTGTTAATTTAACAGCTTACATCAGAACATGGAATTAATATCAAAAGTCAAGTTTAATATCGTTTTTATGTCAATTAATGTTTATTTGATGCCCAACTGATAACTATGATTGCCTTTTGTTACTATTAAAGTCTTAAGGGGTTAAAATTGGGATAAGACAAAAAATGTCTGGCTAGCTCAAACATTTTTTGGAAGCCCTGGTAGACGCCTTATGGAAGTTATTGCCCTATAATGACGATTTTTCCCATTTTAAGCATTTTTGAAAATTATAATAGATAGATAGAAACTTTAAATAGCAAAATTTTCAGCAAGACAAGATCTACAAATAAGTGATCATGGCTGAAATCTTCAGTTGACTTGTGATTTTGGTGTGCAGTTGTATAATGATGAGTATAAAGTTGTTGTCAATCATTTAAAGAACATTGATATCTAATCAAGCAATCAATATTTGACCCATTCTTGTACAAGTGTAGTTTAAATACAGACAATAATTATTTTGTTTTTTATACATTAATTATTATACATAAGATGCATAAATAAATAATTTCAGTTTATAAAATATCTCCTTTTATCACAGCAAATACATGAAGTAGATCGTGAAGAATTGAAAGCGTGTGAACAGCTTGTTCATGATCAACATCTTCAACAGCAAGGCTGGGCTGCAGTGGTGGCTAATTTAGAAGATATCACAAGGTCAGTTTTTATAGCAGATATTGTCAATTTATCTACATCTATTTACATTTGCAGAATCAATGAAATAAGGTATTCTAAAAGACATTTCAAGTTTATACATTTATATTATATCCCTGGTACCACATTGTGAAAAGTATCTTTATTGCATGACTCATTTTATTTCTATTTCTGTGACAACAGAGCTTATCTGCGTTGTTGCTAATATAGAAGATACCACAGAGTATTCATAATAACTTTATTTTAGATTGTTTTTTTTTTATTTCAGTGCTCTTAGACATAGATCAGAAATATTTACTGAGTCCTACAATGAATACTTAGAACCAAGAGATGATTACTTGAAAGTTCTGTCAAGGTAAGTCATTATACATATAGAGGATCATATAATTATTTTAGTAAAGGTCATACTACTGAAGCCATCACATTTTGAATGTCTGTAATGTTATGGATGCAGTCAAGACAATTTTTAAGCCCCCACCGTCGCCGGAGGGGGCATTAAGTGTTACCCTTGTCCGTACATACGTCCCAAAATTGGTTTCTGTTCTCTAACTTTTGTTTGCCTCAACCAAATGTTATGAAACTTATACACAATGCTTATTACCACCAAACACAGATCAATTTCGAATTTGGGTGGCATCACGTTTATTGTTCTTGAGTTAAGCCCCTTTATAACGTTGTATGCAAGCGGGGGCATCATCTGTGTCCCATGGACACATTGTCCATTTATTTTGTGTGAAAGCAATTGGAGGTCAGAGTAACTTGTCTACAGTACAAGTATGACCCCATGTGAAGTTAATCAATCTGATAATAGGATTAGTATTGAGGCACAAAACAGATGTCAAACTGTGCAATTTTACATACTTATACATGTTGTACCTTTTAAAAGGGTGTTTTTCATTAGGTTTTTATAGGACAGAAGGGCTATGAGCATCAAGGGTGCAGTGTACTTCTAGGCTCTGGCTTCTTACTGATATACCAGTTCTCAACTAGGCTCTGGCTTCTTACTGAGATACCAGTTCTCAACTAGGCTCTGGCTTCTTACTGAGATACCAGTTCTCAACTAGGGTCTGGCGTCTTACTGAGATACCAGTTCTCAACTAGGCTCTGGCTTCTTACTGAGATACCAGTTCTCAACTAGGCTCTGGCTTCTTACTGAGATACCAGTTCTCAACTAGGCTCTGGCTTCTTACTGAGATACCAGTTCTCAACTACCAGTAGGCTCTGGCTTATTACTGAGATATCACTTCTCAACTAGGCTCTAGCTTCTTACTGAGATACCAGTTCTACAGAACTATGACAATTTTGTGTTTCTGGTTCAGTTCTGGTTCAGTTAAGATCATGATAAGTTTTTGTTTTAGTTGTTTACTGTTCTTTGACTAAGATAACAGAACTGTATAACAAATATTTTTTTTGTTTCAGTTAAGACCACTCAATACAGTTTCTGAACAATACCAGTTTTACAAAAATATATGACAAATACTTGTTTTCTGTTTAAGTTGAGACCACTCTTTACCATTCTGACTAAGAACCAGATTTTTATAACAAATATGTTTTTGTTTCAGTTATGACCACTTGTTACAGATTCTTACAGAGATACCAGTTTAATAGAGGTTTATGACAAATCTATTGTTTTTATGTTTCAGTTACAACTGCTCTCTGCAGCTCCTGACAGATACCAGTACTAGTTCTACAGAATTACTGTAAATTCAGAAATTATTGCGTGCATTTATTATTGCGATTTTTGAAAAAGGGACAAAAATGTGATATCAATTATTGCGATTTAGGGGAAATCTTAATTCATTTATATGTGTTAGATATTATAATGCGAGTTCTTATTACTGCGATACCAACCCAGTCGCGTTATTCGCATTAATAAAAACCTCGCAATAAATTCTGAATTTACAGTATAAAATGAGTGTATGTTTTCTATTTTAGTGTTGGACACTCTCTGCAGCTCCTGACAGATACCAGTACTAATTCTACAGAATTATATAATGATTGTATGTTTTCTATTTTAGTGTTGGACACTCTCTGCAGCTCCTGACAGATACCAGTACTAGTTCTACAGAATTATATAATGAGTGTATGTTTTCTATTTTAGTGTGGAACACTCTCTGCAGCTTCTGGCAAAGATACCAGTTCTACCTTGCCTTATAACGCAATCTTCAACTGAGCTTTATGACAAATCTTCATCGTCCTCATCATCTGGTTCATCAACATCAAGTAAAAGTCTTTTTGATTGGATCAGTTCTCAGGTTAGTGTGGTAAAATTTCAGATACATTAAAGTTTGTTTAGTTGGATTATATTTCACGAATCCACAGTATACAAGCCTTATAATTCTGTTCGCCAGACATACATTTTGTCTACAAAAGACTGATCAGTGATGCTCGAAGTTGAAGAGCATTAAGGGCCCAAAACTCAAAAAGGTTTTGCCAAATTCTACAATGGTATTGCAGAACATTAGGATTAGATCTGTTGTAAAGTATAATTTACACTAAAAGTATTTTATGTTTGACTAGTTCTTTGTTATTGTGATAAAACCATATTATTTTTGGTATTAATTTCTTCTACAATTTTTACATTTCCTATAGTGAGATAGAATACATTTTGGTAAATAGAATAAATGTAAATTAAAATTCTTCGTTTTGATATTGGAACACAAGTTAACAAATGAACAATGGGACCAACTTAAATGAACTAGCATTGACAAAAAGATTTACAGTTTTTGGAAACTCCTTACTATTTCATAATTTAGGATCCATCACATAGTCTTCATGATATGGTTGTCAAGTGTATTAAAGCAACAGAACAGTTAGATGATCGAGTCCTGAATACACTTACTAAAGAAGTGCAAGAAATGTTCACACAAGTAGATAATCCTAGCATGAAAGAAGTAAAGGGTATTGAGGACCGATTGTATGGCCTGGACCAAATATTGAGTTCTGGGAAGAGGGTTGTACAGGAACAAGGTGATATGGCTCAGGTTAGTATAACAGGCATAGATGGTCAAGTTAGAACTATAGTATAGAAATCATATACTGTGGGTTCATTATTGTTCGTTGGATACCAATTTTCGTTGAATTCATTGGTACAGGTTAACCACGAATTTAAATGTTCAACGAATTGCAAATTTTCTATAGGCTTGTATGCCGACTTTGGTAAAACCATGAAATTACATATCGATGAAAATGTAAATTTTTGTCAATCCACGAAAATTGGTACCCACGAAAATAAATTAATCCACAGTAAACCAGATGTGAAGCTTAGATTTGTATCGAAAATAAAGAGGTAAAACTGTGACCATGACCTTAAATTGAGTTCTAGGAAAAGGTCTATACAAAATGAGGTCATGTAGCACAAATTATTTTATATTTCCTTTGATATGTAAACAAGCTTATATACCAGTAGAAGAAAATTGCTTTGAAAATAATAAACAGATCTTTACAGGGACACACCCTAAAGCCTTTACAATATCATGTGTCAATAAATTGTTTGAAATATTTATTACATTGAGTGCTTCATGTACATTTTTATATTTGATGAAAAATGGTAATAAAAGGTAAAATATCAACACTATACACAGGTGATTGAAAATTTATTTCTCAATTAAATTTGAACCTAGAAATGTATACAGCTTAATCTTCATGTGTTGAAAACTCTGATAAGTCAAGGTATATTGTCACTCCCGGCAGAATTCTTGTTTGTTTAATGCATTTCTAGCTCTGTTGAGCAGGGATCTCCATGATCTGTTTTATGATGGTGCACCACCATCGTTAAAATATCTTCCGCCATTGTCAAATGATCCCCGCCATCGTTGAATTATCTTCCACTATCGTCAAATGATCCCAGCCATTGTCAAATTTGTTTTCATTTCGCTTGCCTCCACCATTTTTGTTAGCAATTATAATCAAGTGCATATAGTTGCATAACCCTTATTGCATTATAATCCAAAGGGTCCTCCTGATTACAGTTTTAAAGCCCTAAGGGATATTCGGCTAAAGATCTCTAATCACAGGTAGATCGACACACCTGACAGGAGAACACTTTATCAAGATAGACAATTGATTGCATTATTTAATTACGTTTCAGCAAATGCTAATGAAAATTAAGATTGAAAAATAAATTTTAAATCCAGTTACGAAGAAAAAAGTTTAACAAGTCAAACACATGCTTTTATATATATTGACTTACACAATCAGCATCCCCCTTTTTAAACGAGTACAAAATAAGACGTAAAACCGAAATAATTTCATGACAAATAACACGAGTACAACAATAATCGATAATATTGAATCACTTAACCAGTTTAAAAGTAAATGCATGAATATTAACTGCAACTTGATAATCTGAAGAAATTTCGTATCTTAATTCCGATTTCACTTCAGATTAAAAAATACATCCGGTTTACATTCTGAATCGTAAGATACATGTTGCATAGTCTATTACTATGTAATTTGCAGGTTAAAGTCATTAAAACCATTTAAGTTGTAATTGTTGGCCCTCCAAATTTTTCTCCAACGTTTTACAAAACATGTATGAAACTTCTGGTTGTTGATGCTGCAAATCGTCGATACTGGTTCATGACTTCTGAATTTGACAGTGAAAAAAGATCCCCCCAATTTTGAAGTCCTAAACAATAACCAAATTAGCAAGAAAATGACTTGGGCTTGTGATCATTCTTGACTAAAGGGAAGCCATGCAGGCTTGACATTGGAATTGTTACAAATGACAATTAATGAAAAAATTGGTTATTCTATAATGAAATAAATATAATAAGCAATTTATCAGTCTATTCACCATTCCTTACATAGAAATGGAGGAATAAAATACTTTCAATCACGCCACACCATAGACACAGGGTTTTGTCATGGTGAAAGTTCCTCCATAGTAAAATTTTTATCCATGCAGGTCCCTGGTTGAGTCGAACTCAACTGATTTGATATCTCGGTTAAATCAAGTATATTTTGAAGTCCACTCAAAGAAAAATGAACATAAATTTACCCCGATGTGTCGAAGTTCGAAGTAAAAGAAATTTTGGAAGGAAAAAAAACAATTTCAGTTTGAAGTAATGAATCAAATAATGAAATCCTATGTTTTTATTGTGCATCAAAAATAAGTGCCTTATTAGTTCTAGGTCAATCAATTTGTTTGTTTAACAATCAGATTGGCATGTTTCACTAATTGTTTGTGGACAACTTTGAGGTTTGACCATGCATAAAATTATGTGGAACACATTTTACCTGAGAGGTTTACAAAACAAATTAATAGACACAAGCCTAGAATTTCATAAAAGATCAATGAATAATGAAAGTTATATTTAAACTGATCAAACTTTTGTTAAAAGATGAAGACTTATACATCTGTAAGGATTTGTTTAGATTAGTTTGTTGTAACTAACTGTGTTTACCCTCTTTAAATAAAGAAATTATTATTATTATTATTATTTCGTTTAGCGAGTACTTCTGTATTTTATTGTTCTTTATCTAAAATATTAGATGTGAAATTTGTATTTGACAGTTGTTTCCCATTCATTTGATGTGTTTGAGCTTTTGATTTTGCCAATCGACAAAGAACTTTCCGTTTTGAATTTTTCTTGGAGTTCGATATTTTTGTTATTTTACTTTTTTCTGTCTCCTCTTTTTATGACATTAATTATTTTTTAATACTGCATGTACTATCAATGAATATGGATTGGGATATTAAATACGTTTTCTGCCATTACATATGGATTGGGATATTAAATACGTTTTCTGCCATTACATATGGATTGGGATATTAAATAAGTTTACTGCCATTACATATGGATTGGGATATTAAATACGTTTTCTGCCATTACATATGGATTGGGATATTAAATAAGTTTTCTGCCATTACATATGGATTGGGATATTAAATACGTTTTCTGCCATTACATATGGATTGGGATGTTAAATACATGTACGTTTTCTGCCATTACATATGGATTGGGATATTAAATACGTTTTCTGCCATTACATATGGATTGGGATATTAAATACGTTTTCTGCCATTACATATGGATTGGGATATTAAATACGGTTTCTATCATTACATAGCAGGCTGACAGCACAAGACACAGTATTGAAATGGTACAACATGATGAACTCGTGACCTTGGAAGATATTGTAATGTCAGGTCCATCTGATTTCGACTTATCGAGGTTCAACTGTATGTGAACAAGGGAGTAAACCCTGAAATTCTGCATAACAAAATGAAATAACATAATATTTATAGAATTCCTTAGACATTTCTTCTTGCCATACAAGATCAGTTTAACAATGTATATAAGTATATCATTTAATTGTTATTTCAGGGATTTGTACAAAATCAGAATCGAGTGAGTGCTTTGAAGGATAAGTCTATACTACCAGATCTGTGTTCTAGTCATAAAAAGCAGCTGCTTGTCATGGTCAACAATCACAAGAAAATACAGGAAACTAAGAAGAAATGTAAAATGGCCAAAGAGGAACTAGCAATAAATCTTCATGCAAGACTAAGGTAATGTTAAATGTACCAGACACAAGAAAACCATGTCAGCTGTACATAGCAGCAAACTTGGGGGAAAAAGGCATAGTGGAAAAATGGATATTGATAAGTTCTAAGTTCACATTGAAAAGGGTTTCAGACAAGTCTTTCTTTGATATTGATTACATCAGTAATATGATTTAATGTTTATGTTTTTTGAGACAAAATAGAGTATTGTATAACTATATGTTTAAAGAATATTTAGGGAGTCCTATAACAAACTATTTTGTGTTAACTTGCAGGCATACATTTATGAGTTTTATGTGTTTGTTTCAGGTGGGTTATGTTGGTTGAGAAGAGAATCTGTGATATAGATGGTAAGCTGATAATATACCATGAGAATCTGAAGAGACTGAGGAAGAGATTAGAAGTTCTCAAACAGATTCATGATGCCCCTAATATATATGCCTGTCTTGTTGTAGAGGTAGTTAGACGTAGGAGATTCTCATCCACATTCACAGAGGTATGTTCAGTAAATTCAAGGTTTTTTGTTGAATAGAAACTATATACCATTTCAATCATTATTGAGTGTTTAAATCAACAATTCTTTATAATGTTTATTCACATTTTTTCAGAAAACACCTTATAACTATGGAAAAATTTGAGAGTGTTTGCTTTTTTTCACAAAAGAGTCCATAGGAATTTTAGGAGACCATTTGCTAATTGAGGCGACTTGAAAAGAATTTGCAATAAAATATCATCACTTGTATTTTTATAAGACCGCAAAATTTTTTCGGCTGTATAATGGTAAGATGTTGTGGTCGTTGTTGTCTGAAGACATTTGGTTTCCAGACAATAACTTGAGTATAAGAGTATGGATCTCTATGAAGTTGTAACACAAGGTTCCATACTAAAAAATGAAGGTTTGATTTTGGGGGTTATGGCCCTAACCGTTTAGAAAAAAGGTTAAAAAACATTCCTTTTCCAATACTTTGTTGAAATTGCATATTTCTTGGTCAATTTCAATGGGGTTTAATTTTAAAGTCTTGAATTCTCAGGGTTCTTTGATATCCTGAATCTAACTGTGTATTAAGATTTATGATTTTGGGCCCTGTTTTCATATTGGTCCACATTGAGGTCCAAAGGGATCAAAATTAAACTTTATTTGATTTCATCAAAAATTGAATTATTGGGGCTCTTTGATATGCCGATTATAAAAATGTATTTAGATTTTTAATTTTGGTCCCCGTTTTCTAATTGGTCCACATGAAGGTCCTTAGGGTCCAAAATTAACTTTGTTTGATTTCAAAAAAAATTGAATACTTAGGGTTCTTTGATATGCTGAATCTACTGTGCATTTAGAATTTTGATTTTGGTCACTGTTTTCAAATTTGTCAACATTAAGGTACAAAAGGTCCAAAATAAAACTTCGTTTGATTTTAACAAAAATAGAATTCTTGGGGTTCTATGATATGCTGAATCTAAAAATGTATTTAGATTTTTATACAAGTTGATTTTTGGCCCAGTTTTCAAGTTGTTCCAAATCAGGGTCCAAATCAAACTTTGTTTGATTTCAACAAAAATTGAATATATGGTTTTTTTTTATAATGCTGAATCTGACCTGGTATTTAGATTTTGGATGTTGTGCCCTGTTATCAAATTGGTCAACATTGAGGTCCAAAGAGTCCAAAATTAAACTTTGTTTGATTTCATCTAAAATTAAATTCTTGAGGTTCTTTGATATGCTAAATCTAACCATGTATTTAGATTTTGGATATTGGTCATATTAGGTATATTTCCAATTTCAAATTTTTCAATTCTTAGACCACATTCATTCTTTGTCAGAAAACTATGCTGTGTCAAATATTTAATCACAATCCAAAATCAGAGCTGTTTCAAGCTTTAATGTTGTGTCCTTACTTGCCCCAACTGTTCAGAGTTCGACCTCTGAGGTCGTATCAAGCTGTGCCCTGCAAAGCATTTTATTTTTTATCTAATCATATTCATAAAAGATTAATGATTTGTATTCAGGTTTTTGTATTTTCATCATTTCATACTTCTGTTATAAAATGAATAAAAATTAAGCGTCGATAGAAAAAGAGAATTTACAGAAAAAAATCTTCATTTTCTTAGTGGGCTAGCAGTGTAGCAGAAGAATCCACACAAATCCACTCAGAAGAATATAAAAGAAGGGAAGCTTTCATTAGTCAAGTGGGTAAGTCAAGAGACATGAAGATAGTTGTGAGTAATGTAAAAGTTGTATTTTGATTTGTTTTTGTTTTTTGGGGGGTTAAGTAAACCATTTATGAAAATACTCATTGAAATACAAGTTTTCTGTTACTCCAATTGTTTGTTTACATATGAGCAATATATATAATGAATATATAAGTACTCTATAAAAACACTTCAAAATTGAGGTCTAAAACTTGCATTGAAGGAAATAAAACTGAAAACAGAATATTGGCATAAATATATGATCAATGGATGTGGGCGTATTGACTACTGCTAAGGCCAAAGATAAAATTTAAACTGTTTGATGTTGCCTACCTACCCACCTAAAAAGCAGCCTACCCGAGAAAAAAAATCATGACACAAATCGTTTGAAATTTTTTTTTTCAGAGATTTTTTTCTGCTCTTACATCGTATTCTTGTCTAAAATATGTAACTTATGTTGTTGGACAAAAAAAAAATTTTAAAAATCCCTACCTACCTACCCAACCCTACAAGGCATTGGTAGGCAACATCAAACAAGGAATTTTTTAAGGGTGGCCTAAAGTTGAGGGTTGAGAACCACAAAAAATGTATGCTCATGAAATTGAAGTCCCTCTTGAGAGTAGTAGATGCATTGATCACCAATATATAAAAACTAGAAGACAGGATCAGTGAGAAAGACACTACCTTCAGAACACTCATTGTGTCCTATATAACAACATGTCACCAAGTAAAACTACCTTCAGTCCACTCATTGGGTCCTATAAAACAACATGTCACCAAGTAAAACTACCTTCAGAACACTCATTGTGTCCTATAAAACAACATGTCACCAAGTAAAACTACCTTCAGAACACTCATTGTGTCCTATAAAACAACATGTCACCAAGTAAAACTACCTTCAGAACACTCATTGTGTCCTATAAAACAACATGTCACCAAGTAAAACAACCTTCAGAACACTCATTGTGTCCTATAAAACAACATGTCACCAAGTAAAACTACCTTCAGAACACTCATTGTGTCCTATAATACAACATGTCACCAAGTAAAACTTCCTTCAGAACACTCATTGTGTCCTATAAAACAACATGTCACCAAGTAAAACTTCCTTCAGAACACTCATTGTGTCCTATAAAACAACATGTCACCAAGTAAAACTTCCTTCAGTCCACTCATTGTGTCCTATAAAACAACATGTCACCAAGTAAAACTACCTTCAGAACACTCATTGTGTCCTATAAAACAACATGTCACCAAGTAAAACTACCTTCAGGACACTCATTGTGTCCTATAAAACAACATGTCACCAAGTAAAACCACCTTCAGAACACTCATTGTGTCCTATAAAACAACATGTCACCAAGTAAAACTACCTTCAGTCCACTAAAAACAGAAGTGAAAACAATATTACAGAAAACAAATTAATGCATGAGTTATCAAACAGTAGACCATTTATATAGAATTACTAAAAATAATAATCATTGCTATCTGGCCCAGTATTAGTTTTAGTGAGCATGTGCCTCTGTTGAAAAATCCATGAGAACTGATTGCTTTCTATTTAGTAACAATTTAAACCCTTCAGTCTTATGATTTGTTTTTAGAAAAATTATGTTTGTCATTGTTATCAGAAATATTTGTTTTATAGGTCGGCATTTCTTACAGACACTTTTTACTGGTTTGGATCCATTTTCATCCAACTTTGCAGTAAGTTTATAATCATGCAATACATGATACATAGTGTCAACATGTTAACTATACTGTAACTATCATCACTGATTAAATGAATATTTCATATCACATCTATCCTTAACTGTTTTAAGTATCTCTTATCTTAGAGGCTTGTGAGAAACTACATGAACTCAGTTTCACAAACTTTTAATGAACTATAATAATGCTTTACCACGAGAACAACAACAACAACACAAATACAGGAAAACATAAATAGATAATGGTAATATCCTGTCATGTAACTTTGATGTAGCGGAGGGGGCATTAAGTTTTTACCCTTGTCCGTCTGTACATCGGTCTGTCCGTCCGTACTTCCTGAAATTGGTTTCCATTCTCTAACTTTAGTTTGCCTCAATCAAATGTTATGAAACTTATACACAATGCTTATTACCACAAAACGCAGATCAAGTTTGAATTTTGGTGGCCTCTCTTACCATTCTAGAGTATTGCCCCTTTACAAATGGAAGAATTGCTGAATTTTTCATTTCCGTTCTCTAACTTAAGTTTCCTTCAGCCAAATGTTATGAAACTTATATACAATGCTTATTACCACAAAACACAGATCAAGTTTGAATTCCGTTGGCGTCACTTTTACCGTTCTAGAGTTATGCTCCTTTACAAATGGAAAAATTGCTGAATTTTTCGTTTCCGTTCTCTAACTTAAGTTTGCCTCAACCAAATGTTATGAAACTTATACACAATGCTTATTACCACAAAACTCAGATCAAGTACGAATTTGGGTAGCGTCATTTACCATTCTTGAGTTATGTCCCGTTATACTCTTATATGCAAGTAGGGGCATCATCTGTGTTCCATGGACACATTCCCCATTTATTTTTTTTATTTAATTACCTTCAAAACTTCATCAGTTGCTAAGTTAATTGAGGAGCCCTCTGTCGATTAAATTTGCTTTGTCATTTCAATTTACAGAAATTAAATAGGCCTTACAAACAAGGGTATTTTTTCTCTCTTAATTGCTGAGAAATATCTTTTTTTTTAAACTTTTTCCTGATTGAAATACAATGAGGTTTGTATACATAGTTTATACTAGAATTAGTTTAATAAAACATTATTTCTAACATAGGTGGAGCCTCCAGCAGCAATAGACCAGGGACTTCCAGTTATCACAGAAGATGATATAGAAATGTTGAAACATTCTGTTCCTGAACTATCAGATCTCTTAGTGTAAGTTATGATGTTTAGATGATTGTTCCAGGATTGGCTATTGGCTAGAATACTGAAAATTCAGAAATTATTGAGAGATTTTTATTATTGTGAATAATGTGACTGGGTAAGTATTGCAACAATAAGAGCTTGCATTCTGATATCTGATACAAATATCTGTATGCAGATTTTCCAGAAATCACAATGACTAATCTTGATTTTTTTGTCCGTTCTTCAAAAAGGCAATAATAAATACAAGCAATAATTTCTGAATTTACAGTAGGTCATTATGCTTCATATGTCATCTTTAAATTTATTTGCTGATATTTTTATGCAAGTTCAGATAACTGTTTTAAAGCCACTTGATTTGGTGGATACTTGATTTCTTGGTTTTGACAAATTCTTGATGCAAATCAATAGATTTGTGTTTTTCTTAAACACTAGACAAATTTCCTATTGGCTTTAATGTAGAATTTTACAAAACCACAATAATTCCATTTGTATATCTATTTCGCATCTTGAACAAGTCATTCATTTCATATACATATCTAAACTGATTGATGATAGAGTTTTATGTATAATTTGCCCAAAGTGGATAATATCATTGTATTTTCAAAAATACAATTTATACTTTATAAAAAATGAAAAATGAGATAAAGTTCATAAATGATGATTTTAGATACAAAAAAAATAAATGGGATCACCACATTTGTTATCTTGATACAAGTCAAAACAGATAAATTTACTGTACATTGTTTTGTAAAACAGAATTATCTGAGTTATCTCACTTTGATATATAACAAAGATTTTTGTAAAATGATGTTTTTATCATGAGATACAATTGTATGTCTTTTTTTTTTATTTAAATGAAATCCTCGAACAGATAGCCTTTCTGCATGAATGAAGCTAATTTCAGTAACAACCTGAATGATCATTTGCTACCATTTGGGGTCAAAGATGTAGGAATAAACAAAAACATAAAAGCTTAGTTCATACAGGAAGATATTTGACTTTCTGTGTTACCAAATTTTTCAGGGTTCCCATAGAGAGCAATAAAATTATGAAGAGTCACTGGGGTGTATTAACATGTACAACCAACAAACCACAGACACCAAAACCATCTTCACTAGCCACATCAGAAATAGAGATTATTCATAGTTATGATGATCGATTCTATACAGCTGATCATACAGAACTATCCTTAGGGGATCAGGTAGCAAGTAGTGAACTGACTTCTAACTTATTAACAAAATCTGATATTGGGGTGACTAGCCCCACAGAAAAAACTGAATTTATAATGCCCAAAAGTCTTTCAGAAGAATTAACAAAGGAAATGCAAGAAACAAGTCGTAGGAAACTGTTGGAAGAAAGTAAAGTTGATAGTGGTACTAAAAACACTAGGGAGGTTAATAGAACAGTTGTGTCTTCAGGTACAGGGGAGGTGTCTGGAACTTCCACATCATCCGGTGAGCAGATAAAATCAACAGAAAGTGAACTGTCTTCATGTGCTCCAGATAGAAGTACATCAAGTTCACATTCAGGGAAGAAAAAGTTGGGTGTACAATGTACTTCACCAGACCTTGAAACGTCCCAGGAATTTACAACTGCAGACTTCTATATAGAAGATTCTATGCCTTCCTCTATGGGTGGTTCTCCTTCTAGTGCTAACATAGAGGACAAGTCTGAAAAACAATTGGATGATAATAAAGAGGAACCTGAACTGTCTGTTTATAAGACAAAATTAGCTTTAACAGAAACAAAACTTAAAAATTTAAGAGATTTTGTTTCCAATTGTTTTCCAGACTTGAAGCAAAGATTTAAAGATTTTGAAACAAGCATTAACTGTGATAGATCTAAATTCTCTGAGGATTTAGAGAAAACAAAAGAAAAAGTGATTGAAATTCTTCAGATATTTGACATACAGCAACAGAATATAAGCAAGTCAAATAGTGAGAAGCTTGGACAAAATCATTCTGAGGAGATAAAGAAACTTCAGCAAGAAATCACTGAACTGAAAAATAAAAATTCTGAATTTGAACAGTTGTTAGATGAAGCAAAGCAAAATTCTCTTATGGAAAAGGAAAGTATACAACAGAAATCAGATGATTTGCAGAAAACTATTCAGGAAATGACAGGTCAGTTAGAGTCCGCTAAATCAACTCAACTTAAATTACAAAGTGATGTGCAAAGCTTGACAAAAACATTAGAAAGTCATGATTCAGAATTTAAAACAAAACAAAAAGAAACTGAAATAACATACAAGGAAATGGAATCTAAATATAAACAGGAACTTACTGAAATGTCTCAGCAGCACTCTCTAGAAATGGAGGTAGAATTAGACAAAGTTAGGTCTGATTTAAAGGATCAGATGGATCAGTTAGAGACTGAAGCCAAAGCTCATGAGGAAGAAACACAGAAATTTCAAAATGATCTTTTATTGGCTGAAAAGGAAAGAATAAAATTAGAAGAAACTTTAGCAACTCAATATCAGACAGAAAAAGATAGTATTAAGTTGATACTGACTGAAGAATTTTCTGAAAAATTGACAAAAGAGAAAGAACAGTACTCACAAAATGTGGATGAATTAACAGGACAATTAGAAAAAGCTCATGAAACCAAAATGATTGAATTAAAAAATCAACTCTTGAAGGATAAGGCAGAAGAAATAAGCAAAATTCAAAAAGAATTGAATGAGGGGTTTGACTCTACTTTGACAGATTTAAAAGAAAACTTTGACAATGAAAAGAAAACTCTGACTGAGCAACATAATAATAAATTAGTGGAAATGGAAGATTTGCATAGTATTGACTTGATGAAGTTAAATGAAGAATTCAATAAATGTAAGTTGGAACTTGAAGAACAATTAAGTTTATATACGGACAAGAAGTTCAGAGAGGAAGAAGTTCAAACAAACTCGGTGGATAAAATTGATTGTGCCATTGTAACTGATGTGTTACCTTGTAGGTCTATGGCCTTACAAACAGAACCTACAATGTTGAATAGTTTGACAGAAAGTCAATGTCAAACAGAGTTCACTGCAATCAGTATAAAGACGCAGACTGAAAATACAGTGAAACCCTGTGAAACTCAAACTGAATCAAAGGAGTTAATTCCAGGTTCAACACAAACTGATCTAAGGGAGGTAATTCAGGTAGAGATGCAGACAGACAGTTGGGTTGGTGTGTTAGGTGTGAGTTCTACAGAGGTTGAGGAGAAGAGTATCCAGACAGAGATAATGGAATGTGTTCAGTCAGATTGTCAGACAGAGAGACAGGAAACATGTGATCAGGAATGTCAGATTATAGATGACACAGAATCAAAGGTTAGTTGCCTAGGATTTATGTTTCTGATTGTTGTTGCCATACTTTCATCCATCACCACATTGTATCCACAAATCCTCCTTTAAGACATTGATTGGATTTTAATTAAAAATATGAGAGTTTAAGTACCTGATTTTTATACAACTTTTGCGATCGTGTATTGGTATGAAGACACATTGGTTTTCGCACTCTAACTTTAGTTTAAGTGAATGGATCTCTATGAAATTTTACCATAAGGTTCAACACCACAAAAGGAAGGTTGGGATTGATTTTGGGGGTTATGGTACCAACAGTTAATGAATTAGGGGCCAAAAAGGGGCCAAAAATTAGCATTTTTGTAACTTCCAGACATAACTTGTGTGTTAGTGTATGGATCTCTCTGACATTGTACCACAAGGTTCCATATCACAAAGGGAATGCCGGGATTGATTTTGGGGGTAATTGCCTCAAAATTTTAGGAATTAAGGGCCAAAAAAGGGGCAAAAAACAAGCATTTTTATATGGACAAATACTTTAGTACAAAACATAATTTAAAGCAGTGTAAGGGAGATAAATCAAATACATCATTTGAATTACCTCCCTTACACTGCTTTTAAATTATGTATAAAGTAATGGTTAATGAACAATTAAGACAATTTAAAATAGTGTAAGGGAGGTAATCCACATACAACGTTTTGATTACTTCCCTTACACTGCTTTTAAATTATGTTTAAAGAAATGCATATTTATAAAGGAAGACCAGTAAAAATATCTACAAATGTTGCATCTTTTTTTTTTTACCAAAAAATCCATATGAAAGATTTGACACCATATTTTAAATTCTATTATAAAATAGATTAAGTTAGCACTATGGTAAATTTAAATGGGTAATTATGGTTGCAAATTCCATTGGAAATTTGAATTGAGATTATGACCATATCTTCAGGGAAAGAATTTTTTTGGGGAAAAAGGGGGGGTAAAAAGAAATTGTGGGGGTCAATTTTTTCTCATTTCAGATTTCAGAATTTAAAAAGAATTATTCTTCAAATATTATTTTTTTTTCAAATTTCAAATATTGAAAAATTTCAAGAAGTAATCTTTAATTGCACAGTATGGCGCATTAGATTTGTAAAATCTTTGACCACATTTATTTATTTGTTATGCCAAATCTGACCGTGTATTTAGATTTTTAATTTTGGGTCCAGTTTTCAAATTGGTCTACATTAAGGTCCAAAGGGTCCAAAATTAAACCTAGTTTGATTTTAACAAAAATTGAATATATGGGGTTCTTTGATATGGTCCGAGTACACAGTTATCGTCCTTTGATTTTCGTTGTCCACAAATGTAGTCCCTAGTGTTGACAGTGTGTTACTTGCCATTTTTTTTTTATACCTCTTCCAAATTTATTTCTCCATGTTTTATGACTCAAATAGCAAGTAGGGGGGTGAAATGACACTAAAAAAATTTGGGTCATGAATTTTAAAGTAAAGTAGTGATTTGGTCCAGCTGAAAAATGTTAAAAATTAGCACTTCGGAAGCTGTCAAAAGATTTGAAGACCCCCTTAACATAAAATTGTCCATATTTTGAGTTAGAGCCGATGAAGTTTTCTATAATTTTGATATAATTTGTCCCAAAAATAGTACAACACACTGTAAAAATATTATTGAGAAAGCGCAGGTGGGATTTTTTTAATTTTCATTTATTGTCTAAAAGAAATGCACTACGAAATAACTGTGTACTCGGACCTAAGAGGTGAAATCAGGAAATATAGAATCTGTACTTTGGCAACTTCCCTGAATGATTTGATGATGTCAATTTGTCAAATAGCATAAAACTAAAGGATTTAAACTTTTATTTGATAGAATTTCTGCAAAAATGACCAATTTGGGCATATTATGGTCAAAATAAGCATTTCATAGCTTTTTCAATTTTGATGCATAAGTGGCATTCTGACTTTCTATCTGACAGGTTTTTATGTGTCAATATTTGTGTTTCTATGCTTCAATCCAGTTGTATTACTCATTTGTGAACTCTGAATCTACAGAAAAGAAGATTATCTCAGACAATATGTACAAAATGTGTTGTATATATGACCCTCGTCTAACGCCCTGTTTGGATCAAGTTAAATGTGAGGAGCTTGGAACATAAAAGTTGAAGTCCATAATAAAGACCTCACTAAATTTGCATAAAAAGCACTTAACAATGTCTTTTGTACCTGTTTCATGTCACATAATATCTTTCTTTTCTTCTGTAGGATAGCAAGTGGTTCAAATATAAGCTTGTTGCGACTAAAATTGCATGCATGTTTTTCACTAAAAAGTGAAAAATCTTTGTATCAGACCATACTGTCAGCAAAAAAAGTTGAATGCAAGAGTCTTTTTGTGCTCAGATTTATTGTATCATGTCACCTGAGTATAGAAATGATAGAAAAGACACAAATTTTTATTTCCTATAGCTTCAATATGCATTTTTAAATGTAAATATGTGCTACGGCCTAAATTGACCCTAAATTATTTTCAGTCTTACTTGGCCTAAGACCCTTTTAAACTAATATGATATGTTATTTGTGAGTTTTCTTTCCATTTAAAGTACATTAAATATATATGTAAGGATTATTTATAACCAAAAAGCTTTACAAATTTAAAATTGCTGGAAAATATTACATCTTCATGTAAGGCCCCCCTTCATTGGAAAACCTCCATTTTTAGGCACAGGCTCATATAAATTTGACTTTTTTATAATTATGATAAGTCTGATAAATCAAATGAGTACTCAATTGCTTTTAATACATAATATTTTATATATTAAGGCATTTCAAAAGTATTTTTTTGCAATATTTAAATTTTTTAAGCCCCAAATGTTGATAGTTGAAATTTTTCAATTTTAACGTCTACATTTAACACGCAAAGTTGAATATAGAATTAGTCATATTGTCTATAATATATGTCCTTTTACCATGAAACTTTGTAGGCAGTCTTATAATTTATTAAGCTTTGGTCATACCAAGTTTCATTAAGATTGGTCAACTTTTTCTACCCTATTAGGTCCGAGTACACAGTTATCGTCCTTTGATTTTCGTTGTCCACAAATGTAGTCCCTAGTGTTGACAGTGTGTTACTTGCCATTTTTTTTTTATACCTCTTCCAAATTTATTTCTCCATGTTTTATGACTCAAATAGCAAGTAGGGGGGTGAAATGACACTGTAAAAAAATTTGGGTCATGAATTTTAAAGTAAAGTAGTGATTTGGTCCAGCTGAAAAATGTTAAAAATTAGCACTTCGGAAGCTGTCAAAAGATTTGAAGACCCCCTTAACATAAAATTGTCCATATTTTGAGTTAGAGCCGATGAAGTTTTCTATAATTTTGATATAATTTGTCCCAAAAATAGTACAACACACTGTAAAAATATTATTGAGAAAGCGCAGGTGGGATTTTTTTAATTTTCATTTATTGTCTAAAAGAAATGCACTACGAAATAACTGTGTACTCGGACCATATGCTGAATCGAAACATATATTTAGATTTTTGATTTCGGGCCCAGTTTACAAGTTGGTCCAAATTGGGGTCCAAAATTAAACTTTGTTTATTTCTACAAAAATTGAACATATGGGGTTCTTTGATATGCTGAATCTAACCATGTATTTAGATTTTTTATTTGTGGGCCCCGCTATCAAATTGATTCATATTGAGGTCAAAAGGGTCCAAAATTAAACTTTGTTTTATTTCATCAAAAATTGAATTATTGGGGTTCTTTGATATGCCAAATCTAACCGCGTATTTAGATTTTAATTTTGGGTCCAGTTTTCAAATTGGTCTACATTAAGGTCCAAAGGGTCCAAAATTAAACTGAGTTTGATTTTAACAAAAATCGAATATATGGGGTTCTTTGATATGCTGAATCTAAACATGTATTTAGATTTTTGATTTTGGGCCCAGTTTTCAAGTTGGTCCAAATTGGGGTCCAATATTAAACTTTGTTTGATTTCAACAAAAATTGAATATATGGGGTTCTTTGATATGCTGAATTTAACCATGTATTTAGATTTTTTATTTGTGGGCCCCGCTATCAAATTGGTTCATATTGAGGTCAAAAGGGTCCAAAATTAAACTTTGTTTTATTTCATCAAAAATTGAATTATTGGGGTTCTTTGATATGCCAAATCTAACTGCGTATTTAGATTTTAATTTTGGGTCCAGTTTTCAAATTGGTCTACATTAAGGTCCAAAGGGTCCAAAATTAAACTGAGTTTGATTTTAACAAAAATCGAATATATGGGGTTCTTTGATATGCTGAATCTAAACATGTATTTAGATTTTTGATTTTGGGCCCAGTTTTCAAGTTGGTCCAAATTGGGGTCCAATATTAAACTTTGTTTGATTTCAACAAAAATTGAATATATGGGGTTCTTTGATATGCTGAATTTAACCATGTATTTAGATTTTTTATTTGTGGGCCCCACTATCAAATTGGTTCATATTGAGGTCAAAAGGGTCCAAAATTAAACTGTTTTATTTCATCAAAAATTGAATTATTGGGGTTCTTTGATATGCCAAATCTAACTGTGTATTTAGATTTTTAATTTTGGGTCCCATTTTTTAAATTGGTCTACATTAAGGTCCAAAGGGTCCAAAATTAAACTTAGTTTGATTTTAACAAAAATTGAATTCTTGGGGTTCTTTGATATGCTGAATCTAAACATGTGTTTAGATTTTTGATTATGGGCCCAGTTTTCAAGTTGGTCCAAGTTGGGGTCGAACTTTGTTTGATTTCAACAATAATTGAATATATGGGGTTCTTTGATATGCTGAATCTAACCATGTATTTTGATTTTTGGGCCCCCTTATCAAATTGGTCCACATTGAGGTCAAAAGGGTCCAAAATTAAACTTTGTTTGATTTCATCAAAAATTGAATTCTTTGGATTCTTTGATATGCTGAATCTAACCATGTATTTAGATTTTGGATATTGGACCATAATAGGTAAATTAAAAAATTTGAAGTTCTTAGACCACATTCATTCTGTGTCAGAAACCTATGCTGTGTCAAATATTTAATCACAATCCAAATTCAGAGCTGTATCAAGCTTGAATGTTGTGTCCATATTTGCCCCAACTGTTCAGGGTTCAACCTCTGCGGTCGTATCAAGCTGCGCCCAGGGGAGCATTTTATTGGTAATTTCTTTCAACAAAATATGGACCATGTGACCATATCTTATAAAAGGGAAGGCATTAAATACTTTCAACGCTCTCCATAATCACTTACTGGATTTCAATAACAGAAACTCACTGAAATGATGCACCGTATTTAATTTTTTTGATACAAATGATTTTTGGGGTTACACATAGAATCAACATGGACCTTGCAATATCTACAGAAGAGGTAGACATGTTTTACCTGCCATTCTTCCTTAGCCACTTGTTCTTTTTGAGTCAGACTACTTACGGTATATTTGATATCTTTCTCTCTAGTCTTGACTCTTGATGAGTTCTGGATAATAGTTGAAATACAGACCATTGTCACAAGAAATACATATCTGAAAAGAAGAGACATAATTGATATATAAATAAGAAGATGTGGTATGATTGCCAATGAGACAATATTCCACCAGAGACCAAATGACTTAAAAGTTTTTTTATTTCAGAAAATTGCTGAGATTCAGGAAGAACATCAAATGGAGATAAATAAATTAGTCAGCAAATTAGAGAAAGACAAGGAAGAATCTTGTATGTCGATGAAGACAAGTTTGATAGCAGAAAGACAGGTAAGAATCTTGTATGTCAATGAAGACAAGTTTGATAGCAGAAAGACAAGGAAGAATCTTGTATGTCAATGAAGACAAGTTTGATAGCAGAAAGACAGGTAAGAATCTTGTATGTCAATGATGACAAGTTTGATAGCAGAAAGACAGGTAAGAATCTTGTATGTCAATGAATACAAGTTTGATAGCAGAAAGACAAGGAAGAATCTTGTATGTCAATGAAGACAAGTTTGATAGCAGAAAGACAGGTAAGAATCTTGTATGTCAATGAAGACAAGTTTGATAGCAGAAAGACAGGTAAGAAGTATAGGTATAAATTATATGGTGTTCTGCACCTTGACATTGTAAGTGAACAGAGAACAAGTTAGGGCTATATTCCATTCACCTTGTCCATCTGTCCACTCCTCCTTTTCAGGTGCTACTGATCAGAATTACTTCATTTTTGGTCAGCACCTTAAAAGTAATGTGCTTTCTGATCTCACCTACATTCTGTTCGCCAAGTTTTTATACGCCCATTTACGGGACGTATTATGGTATACTGTGGTCAGTCCGTCTGTCTGTCCGTTGTCAACATGTCGTACAATAACTCAAAAACGCTTTAACCAATTTGCATGAAACTTTGGTGAATTGTTTATATCTATTGACGTGAGCTCCCTTTTGATTTTTATAAATTTTGGATTTTACATTTCTGAGTTGTGGGGTTTTATTCATTAAAAAGGGGGATTTTCTAGTTTTCAGACAATAACTCAAAAATGCTTTGAGCAGTTTTCATGAATCTTTGGTGAATTGTTTAAATCTATTGATGTGAGCTCCGTTTTCGATTTTTATAAATTTTAGATTTTACGTTTCCGAGTTACTGGGTTTTTGTCGAGCCTGTGACTTCTGTCGCAGAAAGCTTGACATAGGGATAGTGATCCAGGGACAGCGGCGGCGTTAACTAACTACTTAGAAGATTAATATTTCAGAAGGTAGAAGACCTGGATGCTACATACTTTGTATATAGATGCCTTATGTTATGAAGTTTCCATCTTTCATATGTCCATTGTCCTTGACCTCATTTTCATGGTTCAGTGACTACTTGAAAAAAAGTTAAGATTTTTTTTTTTCGGACAGTAACTCAAAAGTTCTTTGAGCAGTTTTCATGAAACTTTGGTGACTGATTTATATCTTTTTTTTTAAATTACCTCCCTTTAGATTTTTATAAATTTCTGATATGACATTGAGGATTATGGAACTTTATTCTTTGAAAAAGCAACGGGCTTATCATGGCTCAGCTTTAATATGTTAAATGAACTTAAATTTTTTAGTCACTCATTTCTTCAGTACTACTGAACAGAATGACATCATTTTTGGTCAGCAGCTTGAAAGTGATGAGTTGTAACATGCAGGCACTTATCAGATCTGTCAGTCATCTACTTCCTATTTTTACATTCTGTGACCAAAAAGTAGGGAGTATGCTTTGCAAAATTCAAAATAAATGAAAATACATGTCTGCTAGATTTAAAATGAAACGTCTGTTGGCCACTGTTCCTCATAGGTAGTAAATGGTAGTTAAAAGATGTAGTCAAGGTAGCAGAGAGTTATTTGTTGGTCCTTGGTTCACTTAAATCCAGATAATTTAATGTAATTGAATAATTATTTGATGTATATTACAGGTATCATTTAATGAGGCTGTCAACAAAGTCTCCAGTGAAAAAGATTCTATAATATTGGAATTGAGAGAGAAAGATTCCATTTCAATTGAGAAACTGAGAGTAGCTCAAGGTTAGTTTATAACTCTGGATTGAAACCGGAAGTAACTCAAGGTTAAAATAAATGGTAGCCTCAAGTTTTTTACACAGGTTACTTTACTGTAGTATAGTTGAAGGAAATTTGCACTAACCTTGTTAGAAATTTATTTCTCTGGGAAATATTGAACCATGAAATTCAAATTTGATTTTTTTTTCTATCGTAATATTAGTCTAGTCCAATTGTATGTTTGGAATAGTAAAACTTAACTTTCATAGCTTTTGAATGGATGATTGAGTTAAATAAACTTTGGTGTTATCCTTAAACTGTAGTGGTAAAACTTGCTAGAACAAACTATATACAAATACTGTCAGCTGATCAGGAATTGTAAGGCAGTAAGTGAAATAGAAAATTTAGTAGAAACCTGTCATGTTAAGTGAGTTTGAAATTTTTTAAAATTAAATTCATTTTTCTTTGTGATTTGAAAAGTTATGAACCCATGCAAACAGAAAAAAATGATGTAACTTTATAGAAAGTGGGAAGTACATGTATGAAGTTCATGTAATATATCACTTATTTTTAGAAACAATAGATAAACTTGTTGAAGAAAAGAGTAAAGTTGAAGACATAAAGACACGTGCAATGGCTCATCTCAGTGACAAAGAAAGGGAATTTACGTAAGTGTCTATAACTAACACAGATATAGTGTATCAAGAAGACTGGCTTTACACAAACTTATAGGGATAGATAGAAACAACAACAACAACTATTTAGTGACAGTAAATCGCTTAGTCAATATTGTCTCACAAAAGGTATGATTCATAATGTCTGACAAAAGGTATGATTCCCTTTCATTTGTTAGTTGTCTTCTCAGTAATAAGAAGGAAAAATAAGTTTTGTTGTATACTGTGCACCCTTAAAAAGAAAAGCAAAATGAGTGAAAAGAAAATAGAGTGGAATACATTGTTAACAAGGTACATTGTTGAATTTTCTTATCTGCCTTTAATTTGTTTTCTTTAATGGAAAGGTAACATATATTTCTTAAAATCCTTTGCACTACAAGATACACTCTTCATATAGTTGTGTACCTGACAAGTGCACCATGCACTTTTCTTTAACAAGTTCTTATCTAGAAATTGTGAAATTTTAGTGCTTCCAAGAGATCACTTGAAGATGATGTTGCCATGTTAAAACAACAGTTAGTTCAATATCAGCAGCAAATACAATCAATGTCTTTGTCATCTGCACCTTCAGTTATGGAAATCAGGTAATTGAACTTGGAATAAAGTTAGAAATAAGCTGATATATGTGCATGTAAAATAAAACTAAAATTTATAACTAGTGTTATTACAAAGTTTAGATAGGAAAAGAAGATTTGTATTAATTGTAAATATACTGCCTTTTTTTAGGAACATGGATGTACATTGTGTATATTCTTTAGAAATTTTTACTTACATTTTTTTTTACTGAAATAAAGTAAAATTTTCTTCTTTATATGTCTCTTGTAAAGCTGGAATTTTATTGAAAACCACCCATTGCAATACCATTTGTTGCCAAGATGAAGGAATATCAATAGATGTAGGCAGAGTCACTTCAGTTTAGAGAAACATTGCTTAAAGTGTTTAGATATATTTATATATCACAGGACAGATGTCCATCAAATTTCTGAAAAATTATCCTAGAAATATAATTATAAATATTTTCACATTTCCCAACCATTCATATAAATTCATACATTGTACATAGAGTAATAAAAAGCTTGTGTTATATTACAGTACACTAGAGGAAATAGAATCCAAGACAAAAATATCCCTGTTGGAAGAGGTAAGAATATGTTCCACACAAACTTTATTCTAAATCATAGTTCAGGACTCTCATTTGTTATAATCAATCTCTTGCTTAAAAGGAGAATATGAAATGACATTTTGTTTCTGGTGCCAATTTTTGTTGCAGACATTTAAAAGGTAAATGTGCAATATGAAATTGTGAGCACTTGAATCCCCTTGCTCTAGAATAAGATAATCAGATGTAAATTATGACTTTCAAAGGATTCTATGTAAAAGTAAGGGGATGTGGTAGATGAGAGAACTATCCATCATAAACCAAATGACGTTAGCAACTATAGGTCACTGTACAGCCTTCAAAAAAGAGCAAAACCCATACCCTATTGTAAGCTATGAAAGGCAGCAACGTGACATAATGTTAAACAAATTAATCAAAGAAAACCAATGTCCTTATGTACAAAACAATGAAAAAGAAAATTGATATACAGCAACCAATGACAACTACTGAATAACAGGCTCCTGACTACAGGGCATCCGATACAGCTTCAAGGGAGTTAACTATTGGCGCAACGTTAAAGCATTCGAATTCCCTCAAAACGTCACTTTCGGCGGGACGTCATGTGTGTAATTTTCCATAATAAAAAAAAAAAACGCTTCCAAGAACGGTATTTAGTATAAACAATGCTCCAACTTATGTTTCCTACACATGTCAACTTCTATGCCTTTAAGATTAGTGCTTTTGATTCTAACATTTTGATATATATAAAATCATAAGAAAGTAAACACTTGTTACCGTTTCTGCTTTTCCTCGTCTTGAAGCTTCTGTGAGGTCTTGAACAATGAAGTCAACAAAATATCATATAGTGAGCAATCTCAAGACAACTGACCCTTTTGGTGTTAACATAATGTCATTTTTATCATCATTTATTCCTGATCGAATTTTGATTTGGATCCGATTTTCTGACAGCGCACATAAAATAGTTTTACGGTGCATTTTAGTAACAAGCAAAGTCAATATTCAATTTGTGTCAAATTTCATATAAAAAGTTCAGATAGCACAAAAATCCAGTTTTAATCATAGTCATTCCATATCAACACTTCAAAAGAAGTAAATTTCCTCACGGAACATTTTATTAAAAAAAAAAACCATGAAATACTGGTTTTTACGAGGAGAATGTATGCCAATATAATGGTACAAAACCAAAACAGGTAGGGCTAGTTTTCCATAAATTTATTACACATTGATAGTCTTGTTTTAAAGGTCTTTAAATCTGTTAAAAAATCATGACAGCTATACTTTGGGGTTTCTACAACATTATATGGTATTTCTGAACATTTATTAATTATGAATGCTTTAAGTGACTTGCTTTAAAATTGGAATTTTGGATGGTATATGTTGGATATTTGAGAGATGAATAAAAAGGACACAAAAACCAATGCATAAAAAAAATGTTTAGGTAACATGTCCCATTTTTCAGATATAAATTGAATCATTTTTGCCAGATCAAAAATTATAAAATATTTCAAAATTATTGTAAAGTTTTCTTGAACTGTAATCATTCACCCGAAAAACAGTTTGATTTTATGAATAAATGTGAAATTATTAAAAGCGATTTAAATGTGTTTTGGGTGTATGTCAATGAAACAGCAGCCCACCAACCAAAACAAAAATCATTTAGAGGTCAACTTAAGGTCTTCAACAATACACGAGTGTGTACAATTCCGACATGTCTAGTCTTTAAATTAAGCCGTAAAAAAATTCAGCAATCCGCAATAACTATACCTGAGATGTTTCTCACTTGGAACATGAACAGAATAAAAGAGAGAGTTATTTATGATACACATTTTATTTCCAAAATAATATTATTATTTTAAGGTGGCTCTTTAAAAGCAATATATAAAAAGTAAAACAACAAAAATACTGAACGCCAAGGAAAATTCAGATGGAAAGTCCCTTATCAATTGGCAAAATCGAAAGCTCAACACATCAAACGAATGGAAAACATCTGTAATATTCCTGACTTGGTACAGGCATTTTCTTATGTAGAAACACTTTGAAAATGTCGCCGACAATTGGCGGTAGACGTCAAAATTGTCAGCCATCGACGTCATGTATTTTCACACTAACGTTGAGGTTACCAAGAGGGGACCCAACTTTAAGAATAAATCGCGATTTATCTTTGAATCCAGCACGGTGACATATATTTTTTATTTACTAATTGGAGAAAGCATGACAAAAGACAGTTAATGTAGAAAAATGAGAAAAATGACATTATAAGAACCTCTCGATTTCCACATTAAGGTAAAAAAATATCCAACTTTGAGCATCTTATCTGTAATTTTAAGCATGGCTTGAAGAATTTAAAACTAGTCATTCTTGACAGGATTTATTTTTCCCTTATTTTCACTTATCACAGCTTCAGATTGAATCCAATCTTATTAATTTATGACGAAGAATATCTACTCCAAAATTTTTATAACTTTGCTCAAATTTTTTACTAAAGTGCAAAAATCCCCAATTTTTAGTCTCAATCTTCTCGAAAACAAGCATGGTGACCTATGTTTTATTTGGTGATTTCTTTTATAACTCATCTAGGGCGAAAATCATAAAAATGACAATATAATGTGAAACTGTATCGGATGCCTTTAAGACAGGCACATACAGAATGTGGTATTGTTAAACATGTTAGTGAAAGCTGAACCCTCCCTCTAACCTGAGCCAGTGGTGTAAGAGAACAACATATGGACAATTTAAACTGTAAAAAAAACTTGATTAATCATATCGACACATTCACAATAAACAATTTTACTAAAACACTCAAGTACTCACAGTTACTGAAGCTAGATTATAACAATAATTGGTATGATTATAATGTCAAAGAAAATCGATGGTATAATATCAGGAAAAAAGGAAGAAAAAACTAGGCTTTTTATATCTTTTAATAGACTATGAATTGCTTTCTCTAATTCTTATATGATTTATACTTTTTAGTGATCTTGTATTCAATTTTTAATAAGTGTGTTTGGCTACTCTTCATCGGTTTGAATTCAACTGTGATTATCAAATTATTGTCATTCACTGTTTTGGCTATTCATTTCTCATAAATGCCTACCATTACCTGGTGAGCCTTGTGTTTTTATACGACCGCAAAAAAATTTTGAGGTCGTATATTGGTATGACGTTGGCGTCGTCGTCGTCGTCGTCGTCGTCCGGCGTCGTCGTCGTCGTCGTCGTCCGGCGTCGTCGTCGTCGTCCGGCGTCGTCGTCGTCGTCCGGCGTCGTCGTCCGAATACACAATGGTTTTCGCACTCTAACTTTAGTTTAAGTGAATGGATCTCTATGAAATTTTACCATAAGGTTCAATACCACAATAGGAAGGTGGGGATTGATTTTAGGGGTTATGGTACCAACAGTTAAGGAATTAGGGGCCAAAAAGGGGCCGAAAATAAGCATTTTTGTAACTTCCAGACATAACTTGTGTGTTAGCATATGGATCTCTTTGACATTGTACCACAAGATTCCATATCACTAAGGGTCAATGCTGGGATTGATTTTGGGGTTAATTGCCTCAAAATTTTAGGAATAAGGGGCCAAAAGGGGGCAAAAAACAAGCATTTTTCTAGTTTCATGACAATAACTTGTGTGTAAGTGTATGGATCTTTCTGAAATTTTACTACAAGGTTCCATTTCACAAAGGGAAAGCTGGAATTGAGTGTTGTGGTAATTGCCCAAAACGTTTAGTAATAAGGGGCCTAAAAAGGGGTTTAAAATAAGCATTTTTTAGTTTCTAGACAATAACTTGTGTTCAAGTGTATGGATCTCTCTAAAATTGTATAACAAGGTACCATACCACAAAGGCAAGGCTGTTATTGAGCTTGGTTTGGGGGGAAAGGGGGGTGGGGGTGATGAATCATAAGGGGGGCGGGGTCAAAAAAGGGGTAATTTTTTTTTTTCCTTTTTTTTTTGTTTAAAATTTACATTTTAAGTTAGTTATTTTTTATCACGAAGAGAAAGTAGGAATTGAGTTTTGGGGTTAATTGCTCAAACATTTATGAATAAGGGGCCAAATATTGGTCGAAAATAAGGATTTTTTTAGTTTGCAACAAAAACTTGTGTTCAAGTGTATGGATCTCTGTGAAATTGTATTGCAATGTACCATATTACAAATTGAAGGTTGTGATTGAGGTGGGGGATGATGAATCAAAAGGGGGTTGAAAAAATGTGTGGGGGTAGGATTTTTTTTTTTTTCCTTTTTTTTTCTTTAAAATTTTCCATTTAAAGATGGTTGTTTCAGATTTATATATGAAAGAAAATAATAATGATACGGTTATATATCATGAGGAACTGAAATTTAAAATTATGTATATTGGAAATTTAGGTTACATTGGAAAGTAATAATTGGCTTTGGGGGGGGGGGGGGGGGGGGGGGTTATGGCTCTAATGTTTAAGGAATAAGGGGAAAAAAGGTTAAAAAACAAGGGTTTCCATTTTAATAGACAAATAATTGAGTAAAGAACATTATTTAAAAGCAGTGTAAGGTTGGTAATTCAAACTCATTTAAATATCTCATCTACACTGCTTTTAAATTATGTAAATTGGAAATTTGCCAATAACTTTATTGTTAATAAATGCATTGGAAATTTGCCAACAATTTTAGTGTAATAAACTTCATTGGAAATTTGCCAATATAAAATTTTGCTGATGAAGGTTTTTTGTTTACCTTTAGCCTTGACTATGAAGTCATTTTCTATTTTTATAGCCTTATGATGTAGTTGAATTATTTAATACTTTTATGATGTGTTTAAATGGGGTTTTATCATGTTTATGGTTGCAAATTTATTGTTTTAGTATAATAAACTCCATTTAAAATTTGCCAATAAAAAAAATTTTTGTTTATTTTTAGCTATGATTATGATGTCATTTTCTATTTTACTTTTATGGTTGCAAAGAAATTTTTATTTTTAGATATTACTGTTAAATGATGCTGATTAAGGTTTTTGCTATGTTTAGCCATGACTATGATGTCATTTTCTATTTTAATATCTGTTATGATGTATTTAAATGGGCTTTTATGGTTACAAAGGAATTTTATTTTTAGATATTACTATAAAATGTTGCTGATGCTGATTACGGATTTTGTTTATTTTTAGCCATGACTATGATGTCATTTTCTATTTTAATACCTTTATGATGTAATTTCCATTTTTAGATATTACTGTTAAATGATGCTGATTAAGGGTTTTTTGCTATGTTTAGCCATGACTATGATGTCATTTTCTATTTTAATATCTTTATGATGTATTTAAATGGGCTTTTATGGTTACAAAGGAATTTTATTTTTAGATATTACTTTAAATGTTGCTGATTAAGGATTTTTGTTTATTTTTAGCCATGACTATGATGTCACTTTCTATTTTAATACCTTTATGATGTATTTAAATGGGCTCCCATGTATTTAGATTTTTGGTTATTTATACATGTTACCAAATTGGTCCACATTGAACAAAAACGGTCCAAATTTCAACTTTATTACATTACATCAAACATTGAATTCTACATATTCTTTGATATATTGAAATTAACAAACAATTTAGTTTATGGATATTCCACCATAATAGGTAAATTAAATTTTTTCCAGTTCTTACACCACATTCATCCTGTGTCAGAAACCTATGCTGTGTCAAATATTTAATGACAATCCAAAGTCATAGCTGTATCAAGCTTGAATTTTGTGTCCATACTTGCCCCAACTGTTCAGGGTTCGACCTCTGCGGTCGTATCAAGCTGCGCCCCAGCGAAGCATTTTATTAATTTTATGAACATTGTACTGTTTTAGTTGAGTACTATTAGCAGATACAGTGTTATAAATAAATGATATTTGGTAAAGCTGTTATTAGAACATTACAGTAAGTCAGCTTATATTGAAATTACTGTGTATAATTACAGGAAGTAAAACACAAGGAAGAAGAGATTTCTAGAATGGAACAGAAATTGGTTAGTAGCTCATATTGTATGTAAGAAGAAACAACACTTCCTATATTTTAAGCAATACAATCATAAGGAATTTGCATGTTATGAAAATTTAAACCATTTTATTAACATTGTAAATCATTGAATTTTAGTAATTATATTTAAAACATTGTAGGTTTTCAAACTTTTTATGGTATTTTGCTTTATTTAACAAATTTATGGCAAACTAGATATTTTATGCCATATATGATAAACTTATTACACTGTACAACTGACCTGTTTTATTTAAAAAAAAAAAAAACCCTGATGGATAAGGTCACACACCTCTGTATAACTTCAGAGAGTTTCAGTAAGTAATATTAGTCTGGTGTATAGTGTGCTGATGCTATTGCTTGATGCATTATTTTTACCCTCCAATAATTTTGCCTTGCTCTATGTTGAGCAGTGATCTTGGATCCTAAGGTAAGTACAACTATACTATTTGGAAATGTAGCCTGTTTAAAATGAATTATTTAAAATGTGTCCGTCTTTAAGGTAACTCATGCATATGTTGCCAATAATAATAACTATATATATGTATTATGTTTTACAGTCTGAAATTACCATGACAGCAAGTACTAGGTCTGTTGTTCAAGACAAAGTATCTATTACAAGGTATGTTTATGTTACTTACAATAATTCAAAATAAAGTGTCCGCTAGGCAATATTGAATAACTTATCATAATCCCAGACAATGGTGTATAGAAAAAAAGTAGGTGTGATAATTGAATTATTTAGGTATGATTGTTTGTCCTCATGTGTAGTTGACCATACTAAACGGCAAAAATAATCAAAAATAAATAAAACAGAAGATAAAGACTTTGATATTTTTAGGGTAATTGTAACACAATGACACCTTGTGAAAACAACTTCTCTTGAGACGGTTTGACAGAAAGCCTCCTTACTTAGGAATGATTGTCACCATGTGTAGTTGACAATATTATACCCTCATTTTGATGGGAGTTTTATACTGTGACCATTTTTGGACTATGGTGATACTATGACACCTTGTGAACACAACTACTCTGAGACTGTTTGACAGAAAACTTTCATTATTTTGTAGGATTGTTTGTCATAATGTGTACTTGAAGTGACATTAATTCATCGTCATTTTTATGAAATTAAACTGGAAATATATAACAATAAAAAAAATATCAAAAATGTGAGACCAAATGCATGTCTTATCATTCCTTGTTCTTTGGATACAAATGAATATTACCTTAACCTTGAAATAAATCAGTTTTGTTTACTGACTAATAGTAACAGCATCTAGAAGATATAATGAAAAGTGATGTATGAACACATGTGTGAAAAAAACAAAATTCAGCCCTAATGTGGTTCAGTTTTGACAAATTTCCCTGAATTGTTATCAGTATGTTATTTTATTATAGTTGCAGCACTGGTGATCTGGCCCTGTTCTGTTTGGATGAACGGCATGACCAGTATGTTGTGTTTACAATTGGCAGCACACTTCACTTTCTACACAGTGATTGTATAGAACCCTTAGGTTTACAAGCAAGTAAGTACAGTTTTTTTAAGTACATGTACCCATAAATGAAGCTGTTGGTTTTCTTTTTTGAATTGTTTTGCATTTTGTTGTGTTGGAGTCTTTTATAGCATACTATACATTATTGGTTTTGCTCATTGTTGAAGGCCGACCAGTATCCTTTAGTTGTTTACATCTCTGTCCTTTAGTCACTGGTGGATAGTTGTCTCATTGGCAATCATACCATATCTCCTTATTTTTATAAATTTTTGCAGTCCCTGAACCCTTCAAATCCCATGCATATCAAATATGATACCTTTTATAATCGTTATGGCCCTCCATTCAAGATTAGATTAAAATTTTTGGTTTTAGGGGACAACCATTTGATTTTCTGGGGGGATTTTGTGAGGATGGCGAGGGGGGTAGGATTAAAAAACAAGATGGCATGGTAAGAACTGAAAAGAAATATTAAGCACCACAAAATGAACGATAGATTGGGATACAATTGTATACAAAAATGAAAATTTTTTTCCATGCCGCAAAGCCACTGGAAAAAATAAGCATACATAGGATTTTTTCAGTGATTAAATTGACAATTTTAGCATTTTTATCTCTCCATATTTCCCTAAAATTTGACACACAGACATTGCAAACAGCTTACTCTAGCTGAAAACATGAAAATCTTACATTAAGTGCAGAATGGTTTATTCCAGTTTAGTTTCCATGACAGAAATTCATCCAAAATAAGATTTTCTTTGAGGGTTAAAATTGTATGTCTTTATGGCAACTTAAATTCTTTGTAAAAGAAAGATGTTTTCAGCTGTTCACTCTGTCACTTCATTATACGACCGCAAAAAATTTTGCGGTCGTATATTGGTATGAGGTTGGTGTCGTCGTTGTCCGAAGACACATTGGTTTTCGCACAATAACTTTAGTTTAAGTGAATGGATCTCTATGAAATTTTACCATAAGGTTCAATACCACAAAAGGAAGGTTTGGATTGATTTTGGGGGTTATGGTACCAACAGTTAAGGAATTAGGGTCCAAAAAGGGTCCAAAAATAAGCATTTTTGTAACTTCCAGACAATAACTTGTGTGTTAGTTTATGGATCTCTCTGACATTGTACCACAAGGTTCCATATCACAAAGGGAATGCTGGGATTGATTTTGGGGTAATTGCCTCAAAATTTTAGGAATTAGGGGCCAAAAAAGAGGCAAAAAACAAGCATTTTTCTAGTTTCATGACAATAACTTGTGTGTAAGTGTATGGATCTTTCTAAAATTGTACTACAAGGTTCCATATCACAAAGGGAATGCTGGAATTGAGTTTGGGGGTAATTGCCCAAAACGTTTAGGAATAAGGGGCCAAAAATAAGCATTTTTCTAGTTTCCAGACAATAACTTGTGTTCAAGTGTATGGATCTCTCTGAAATTGTACTGCAAGGTACCATACCACAAAGGGAAGGCTAGGATGGATATTGGGGGTAAATGCCTCAAAATTTTTGGAATTAGGGGCAAAAAAGGGGCAAAAAAACAAGCATTTTTCTAGTTTCAGGACAATAACTTGTGTGTAAGTGTATGGATCTTTATGAAATTGTACTACAAGGTTCCATATCACAAAGGGAAAGCTGGGTTTGAGTTTTGGGGTAATTGCCCTAAACGTTTAGGAATTTGGGGCCAAAAACAAGCATTTTTCTAGTTTCCAGACAATAACTTGTGTTCAAGTGTATGGAACTCTCTGAAATTGTACTGCAAGGTACCATACCACAAAGGGAAGGCTGGGATTGAGTTTTGGGGTGATGAATCATAATGGGGTTCAAAAAATTTGGGGGAGGGGATTTTTTTTCTATTTTAAGACTTTTATGATGTATTTAAATTGATAATTATGGTTGCAAACTCCATTGGAAATTTGAATTGAGATTATGACCATATCTTAAGGGAAAGAATTTTTTTTTGGAAAAGGGAGGGAGGGGAGGTGGAAAAAAAATTAGGGGGGGAGTGGGGTAAAAAAGAAATTGTAGGGGCAAAAAAAAAAGTGGGGGGGGGGGGGGGGGGTTGTGTGGTAAAAAAAAGTTTGCTATTTGGGGGGGGGGGGGGGGTCAATATGCAACAGCCTAGTGTATTTCACAAAAGCAAAAAAAAAAGGGGGTACATTTTTTTTTGGGGGTGGGGGTCAATTTCGCAAAAGCATAGTGTATTGCACAAAAGCAAAAAATTGAATATAAATTCAAATCATATAACCAATTCTAAGTTCTTTGACTACAATTATTCGGTGTCAGAAACCTATTATGTGTCAAATGTTTAATTACAATCCAAATTCTGACCGATATCAAGTGCGAATATTACGTCCATTTCTGCCCCAACTGTTCAGGGTTGGACCTCTGCGGTCGTATCCAGCTGTGCTCAGCGAAGCATTTTATTAAAGTGTATCATGGATGTCAGGTAATTTTTGGCTGAGTTTTTTAAACCCAAACTTCAAAGTAGAAGGGGTATAGTTTTGGACCGGTTTGTCTGTCAGTCTGTCAGTTTTCTTCTAAGTCCTAATGCTAAATCAAATACTTTATAAGAAATTGCATCCTTCCTTGGATATAAGGTCGTATATGATAAGAGGCAGAGGAGCCCTATTGATTTTAGGTCATTACATTCAAGGTCAAGGTCATAGTTACTAAAAATAGACCAAAATATGTGTAGGAAAGTGGTTTCAGAATGCTATATGCTTTATAAAGGATTGCAACCTTACATAGATATAAGGTAACATATAATGAAAGAAACATACCTATCTATATTGAGGTCAATATGTCTAAGTTCAAGTTGATAGTTACTTAAAATAGACCACGAAATAGCCCTAAAGCAGTGCTTAAAAATGGCGTAAAAACACCAAAAATTAAATCAAATCAAATCAATAGACCATAGTTTGTGCAGGAAAGGAGCTTCATGATTATATCTATTATTTTAAATGTGATTAGAACCAAACTTGCATATATATAGTTATATCTAAATATTATTGAAACTTCAAATCTTGTCACCAGGATAGTGCTTTTCTTTTTTAAAAGCAATATTACTGTCTGAAATCATAACAGAAAAGAATCATACCCAGGGATCTCCATGACCTGTTTTATGATGGCGCACCACCATCGTTAAATTATCTTCCGCCATTGTCAAATGATCCCCGCCATCGTTAAATTATCAACTGCCATCGTCAAATGATCCCGACCATTGTCGAAATTTGTTTTCGTTTCGCTAGCTGCCGCCATTTTTGTTAGCAATTATAATTGATTGCATGTATTATAATCCAAAGGATCCTCCTGATTACAGTTTTAAAGCCCTGAGGGATATCTAGCTTAAGATCGCTAATCACTTGTACAGGTAGATCAACACACCTGACAAAACACTTGATCAAGTTAGATGTTTAATTGCATTATTTAATTGCGTTACAGCAAATGCTAATGAAAATTTAGATTAAAAAATAAATTTTAAATTTAGTTACGAAGAAAAAGGTTTAGCAAGTTGAATACGTGCTTTTAAATTGACTTATGTAATCAGCATCCCCCTTTTTAAACAAGTACAAAATAAGATGTAAAACAGAAATTAATTTCATGCAAAAAAAAAAGGAGTATAACATTTATCGATGATATTAAATCACTTTACAAGTTTAAAAGTAAATACATGAATATTACATGTAACTGCAACTTGATAATCTGAAGAAATTTCATATCGTAATTTCGAATTCATTTCGTAGTTTACAATCAAATTAATACCTCTGGTTTACATTCAGAATCAAAAGATGCATGTTGCATAGTCTATTACTATGAAATTTGCAGTTTAAAGTCATTAAAACCAATTAAGTTGTAAACGTTTGCCCTCCAAATCTTTCTTCAACGTTTAACAAAACGGGTAGGAAACTTCTTGTTGGTGATGCTGCAAATCGTCAATACCAGTTCATGACTTCTGAATTTGACAGTGAAAAAAAGATCCTCCAGATGTTTAATTCCTAAACAATTACCAAAATAGCTTGGGAACCTTAAGGACAGCTTCAGGTCATTCTTGACTAAAAGGGAGCCATGCAGGCTTGACATTGGAATTGATACAATATATCAGTCTGTTCACCATTCCATACATAGAAATGCAGGAATAAAATACTTTTGATCACGACACGCCATAGACACAGGGTTTTGTCATGGTGAAAGTTCCTCCATCGTTAAATTTTCAATGGTGGAGATCCCTGAATACCCAATAATAAACAGAAAAAAACAAATGCCAGCATGTCACTATAAGCTCTTAGCCTTTATATAGATAGGGGTGTTGGGTATGTGAGTTTGCTCACTAAAGGTTCTATATTTGGACTGCCTCCATTTTACCTGATTTTTGGTAATAGACAACTATTTATATAAGAACTCAGGTTTTCCAGATTTTGTTTCACACCTGTTAATTACAAGGAAGCTATTGAACCAAGAGTTCCAAGTGGTAAAATTGAAATCATTCCTTCGAAAATTCTAAAATGTCACCACGAGTTTGTTGACTGCTATGGAATATCTGTTTCATAGAACGACGGATATGTTTCAACTGTTGTAACCACAATCTCGTCCTTTTTTCCTTGAATGTGACCTATCGAATTAGACTCATCTACGAGTTTGTACTTACATGAGCAACATGATGGGTGCCACATGTGGAGCAGGATCTCCGGAACACCTGAGATCATCCTTGGTTTTTGGTGGGGTTCCGTTGCTCATTCTTTAGTTTTCTATGTTGTGTGTTGTGTACTGTTGTTTGACTTTTTATTGTTATTTGTTTTTTGCCATGGCATTGTCAGTTTGTTTACGACTTACGAGTTTGAATATCCCTTTGGTATCTTTCGCCACTCTTTTATTGATGCTTATAATATTTTGGACAGAACAGGGGAACAAATACTTTTATTTAGTTTTTCATATATGTTTACAGATCCAAGTGAAAATAGGAAATCTTGGGTGTTGGCAGAAATAACAGATAAAGAGTATTGTCAGGCAAAAAAGGTAAATTAAGCTATGTTTATACAATCAAAATTGTCTTTGTAGTTGTGTAAATGGTGTAAATTTTTTGCTGTGTTAATTGTTGTCCCATCATGTAACCATACTTTTTTTATTGGTGGTGTTTTATCTGTTATTGTCTCCTGGTATGTAAATTTGCATATAATTTTCTGTTTGTATGGTAATGAAATAAATTCTCATAGATCCAATGTTTTCTTACTTCTGATGTAACTCTCTTGCTAGCCAGACTCCAATATAATATCACAACCCACAAAGTCCCCAATGGTGAGTTTTAAGTCAAAAGTAAATTGTAAAAAAGTCAAAATTTTATAAACTCACCATCAGTGAAATTGAGCATTGTGAATCTAAACCAACTCCCTAATAATGAAATGTCAGCTTGAGTGATAAAGGGGGTATCTGTGTGAAAACCAAAACATAGTCCCAATAAATCATACTGGCTCAAAGCAGACAGAATTTTGAATGAATAATATTTATTTATACAATAAATTCAATAACAAAATATTTTGGCCCTTGAGAAACACTCAGCATAATTAAGAATTTAGGAGTTCCTGCCGAGCAAGTCAAATTGCAACCTGTAGTGTGAGGAAGAACCTGCCTGCCCGACAATACGCCAGCCGGGAATGTGAAGCGAGGGTTCTCCACTAAGGGGATGAGACTAGGCGTCTCATCTGCAGCCGGGGTGTGCAAGGTCTGCATGGGGGATAGCCCATGTGGTGCTATTACAAGTAGTAAGTAGCAGGGTCTATCAATCTGGCGCTGGAATAAATTTGATAAAAGTCCCAGAAATGCTTGGGGATGAATGAAATTTTAGTGATAAAATTCCATCAAGGAAAACAAGTAATGAAATAAAAAATATCACTGGTAAAAGCTGAGATGTTTCTCATGTCATGATCATTATTGAAGGTGTTTGGAAGGGGTTGGTGGGTGGTAAATTGAATTCTAGCACTGTAAAACTGTCAAGTTGAACTTAGTTTGACTGCTTTGAACCAAGAAACTGATTGCACAAAGACCATGCATATGGCTTAACACACAGATTTTGGGTACATCAATCATCTAGTGGGAGGAGACTGAAATAACTGACCTTCAGTTTATATATACTAATTAATGTGTAATTATTTTATGAGACTGAAATAATTCTGCCTTTCATCACACACAGTGAATAATTGTAACATGTATATGATTAAGAATAGATTAGTATGTCCCCTGGTGAGATTGCAGTGTAACTTCAAGGTGTCAAAAGCCAGAGAAATTAATCTCAAGATGTAGCAAGTGGTCTGTGTATGTTAATTAAATGTATCCAAGATGTCAGCATGCTTACTGGAAAGATTAATTATCAAAGTTGGCTGCAAATATTGTTTGTATAAACAATACTTATATTACATATAAGTATCCTATTTATACAATCAAAATTGTCTTTGTAGTTGTGTAAATGGTGTAAATTTTTTGCTGTGTTAATTGTTGTCCCATCATGCATGTAACCATACTTTTTTTATTGGTGGTGTTTTATCTGTTATTGTCTCCTGGTATGTAAATTTGCATATAATTTTCTGTTTGTATGGTAATGAAATAAATTCTCATAGATCCAATGTTTTCTTACTTCTGATGTAACTCTCTTGCTAGCCAGACTCCAATATAAAATCACAACCCACAAAGTCCCCAATGGTGAGTTTTAAGTCAAAAGTAAATTGTAAAAAAGTCAAAATTTTATAAACTCACCATCAGTGAAATTGAGCATTGTGAATCTAAACCAACTCCCTAATAATGAAATGTCAGCTTGAGTGATAAAGGGGGTATCTGTGTGAAAACCAAAACATAGTCCCAATAAATCATACTGGCTCAAAGCAGACAGAATTTTGAATGAATAATATTTATTTATACAATAAATTCAATAACAAAATATTTTGGCCCTTGAGAAACACTCAGCATAATTAAGAATTTAGGAGTTCCTGCCGAGCAAGTCAAATTGCAACCTGTAGTGTGAGGAAGAACCTGCCTGCCCGACAATACGCCAGCCGGGAATGTGAAGCGAGGGTTCTCCACTAAGGGGATGAGACTAGGCGTCTCATCTGCAGCCGGGTGTGCAAGGTCTGCATGGGGGATAGCCCATGTGGTGCTATTACAAGTAGTAAGTAGCAGAGTCTATCAATCTGGCGCTGGAATAAATTTGATAAAAGTCCCAGAAATGCTTGGGGATGAATGAAATTTTAGTGATAAAATTCCATCAAGGTCCAAAAACTCAGATGGTTACAGATGAGTGCCCCCAAGGATTTTGGATAATTATACCTTCAATAATGTCATGAGAATAAAAAAAAATAAAAAAATAATAATAATTGAAAATAAACAAAAAGATAATATACATGTTCGCAACAAGACATACTCATCACAGTATTATAGGGTAAATAAGATGCCATAAAATGATATTCAATATTCAAAGTTCTAACATGAGAATGCTATAAAAGATATTCAGTAATTCAATGTTTGATTACTATAAAAAGATATTCATTAATTCCATGATAAGATTACTATAAAAATATATTCAGGAATTCCATGATAAGATTACTATAAAAAAAAAAAAAAATATATTCAGTAGTTAAATGATGAGATTACTATAAAAAAAAAAAAATTCAGTAGTTAAATGATGAGATTACTATAAAAAGATATTCAGCAATTCAATGATGAGAATGCTATAAAAAGATATTCAGTAATTCAATGAGAAAGCTATAAAAAGATATTCAGTAATTCAATGATGAGAATGCTATAAAAAGATATTCAGTATTCAATGAGAAAGCTATAAAAAGATATTCAGTAATTCAATGATGAGAATGCTATAAAAAGATATTCAGTAATTCAATGAGAAAGCTATAAAAAGATATTCAGTAATTAATAGAAATTCAGTAATTCAATGATGACAATGCTGTAAAAATTATATTCTATATCAAAGTTTTTGAAGTAAGCGCTACACTAGATTGATTTATATAGATTTTGAACATCATGAGAGATGCATTCAGTATTGTAATTCAGAGAGCGAGAAACTGCCTGTATGGCAATATGCCAGTTTGGGAATGTGGAGCAAGGGGTCTCCAAGAGGGGGTGAGACTGGTGTCTCATCTGTAGCTGTTAGTGTGCTAGTCTGTCTGTGCTAGTAGATTAGCCAAGGTCTATCATAACTGGTACTGAAATACAGGCATGTTAATGCTATAAAACTGTATTTAGTATTCAAATATGATAAATTTTCCTACAAAGATTTTTGAAGAAAATGTCACTGTTCAATTAAATGCAGTTAATAAATAATTCTTTGAAGCTCTCATCATTGAATACATGTTATTTGCAGTAATATATTTAATAATTCTTTCGATGTGTTTGTCTAAAGTTCAAAGTACACAGCTATTAACAACTGTTAGATTCTGGGGTGGTATTTACTGTTCGTATGTACTGTTGTCTCCAATGTGAAACTTGGGTGTGTTAATATAAAAAGTTTGAAATGCATGTATACTCTACAGTATACAGCACTGTATTCCCAAATATAAATATCTTTAACATATTATTAAAGTTTCACCAGTAAATTCTCCACTGTGAATAGAGCAATAATACCTATGTACACACTGTCTCTGCTATTGAAAAAGTGGTAAAAACACCTGTCTAAAACATAATACAATCTCTATAATATCTTTAAACTAATAGGTAAACTGCAGGGTTCCTGGTTCATGTGGTTCGCCATATTTTAAATGCAAAGTAGTCTATTAAAAAGTGTATGTTGTCAGATTCTAAGGATTCAAGTATGCTTGAAGTAACAACGTCCCAAGTAAGTTTACTATTTGTTTGGAATCAAATACTTCTGGACTCGTTCGGCACTGATGAGGCTGTAGTGCTGTCTTGTAGTCAATATGCTTAATTAAGTGAGTATCCTACATGATCTGTTTGAATAGGAGAAATAATGTCCACACAGATATAACAAAAAAAAATATCTGAACATACTCGTGGGTCCATGTTGAAATACAGAGGCTCTAGTATCCAAATATGGTAGTCATGTCTGTTGTAATCCTGTTTACACAATGAGAAATTCTGAACTTGATAAATGTGAGACTATAGTTGCTGATTGTGCTTTATACCACAGATTAAAGATGAAATATTGTTAGGGATTATCCAATTGGTGATACTATGATTAGCATACTGCCAATGTTGGTATGACTGAGCTCCAGTTGAACAAAAGTAAAGTTTATTATTATAAGGTCTGGAAACAATGTTCGTCCAATTGACATATAATTCCAGATGTAGCCGCGTCTTAGGTAAAATGAAGAACTTGATAGTGTCTAATCTGATTGTAAATCTGATGAACCTAATGTGCATACAGGAGGTGCAATCTGTCTCCATTCCTCAGTGTTTAGATATGCAAAAAAAGAAAAGAAGAAAGGTGTCAGTAATAGGCGATATCAAATGCTACATGCTTAGTTAAACTATAAATATAAATAAATTTATATTTAAAACAAGCAAAGTTACTGTTTATCCATTTAGAATCATTTGAAATTTGATAAGGATATATCGATGTAGTCAGGTGAAATTAAAGATCTGGAGTTTAAAATTTATACTATAAACCAGAACTCATTACCGGTAGTTAAGGGGGAAAAAATAGTTTAAAAATTTATATAAAACATTGCATTTTAAGGGTCTCAAATCGTAAGAAAAGAAATCTAAGATCTGTTTAAATTTAGTAAGTAACCTTTTATGACCTATAGAAGTTTTATATACTAAGAAAAGTAGGGGATATGAAGTAAATTATTTTACCCTGTATCATAGGAAAACCCAAAGAAGTCTGAGTACCTGACAAAAATTTAAACTGACATGACTACATCCTTAGATTACACTAAATGTCATCAAGTGTCATTTCTCAAATTTAAATTAGTAATGTATTTTGAGATGCACAACGCCTGTAAAATGTATTGAAAATCTCCATATTATACACTTGATGCAAGGACTAGGAGTATTCAGCATATGTAAAATATACTATTCCAAGTTGAAAGAAAAAAAAAAAAATATTAAAAACTATTTAGCTCTTTAAATGTTTATGGCAGCTAGGGCCCTTAAATTTCTTATCTAATAGCTATATTTAGATCATGATACTGCTTAATTATTCTGCCTAGGTGGTGTATGTTATGAGGACAACAAACAAAAATCTTATAAGAGAGAGACAAATAAAAAATCAATAAAATAAAACAATTTGATTCCAATAAAGATGATGAAAAGAATCCATACTTAGTATTTTATGAGGCTGTTTTCTGAATATGCATGTAAAGATATATAAATAGGTGAAATTAGATTATTTCTTTTATATAAACCAGTTAAATCTAGTCTCTAGTTTGCCATAACACTGTTAAGTTTATAATTTTCGAAGAAAATCCTCAGCAAAATACATGTTCATCTGTATATAAGAAATAAAAGTTCAATACAAAATACTTGCCTTGAACAGTTGTATAGAATGTAAGGCCAGTGCATACACACTCGACGGAATGCTGGAAATATCTGTATGGTCACAAATACATATGGATCTGATGTAAATATGGCTTAACACACAGATTTTGGGTACATCAATCATCTAGTGGGAGGAGACTGAAATAACTGACCTTCAGTTTATATATACTAATTAATGTGTAATTATTCTATGAGACTGAAATAATTCTGCCTTTCATCACACACAGTGAATAATTGTAACATGTATATGATTAAGAATAGATTAGTATGTCCCCTGGTGAGATTGCAGTGTAACTTCAAGGTGTCAAAAGCCAGAGAAATTAATCTCAAGATGTAGCAAGTGGTCTGTGTATGTTAATTAAATGTATCCAAGATGTCAGCATGCTTACTGGAAAGATTAATTATCAAAGTTGGCTGCAAATATTGTTTGTATAAACAATACTTATATTACATATAAGTATCCTAATATAGAACAAGACAAAGCTAGGACTTTCAGAAGATAATCTTGTTGATTTACACAAAATCTGTTTCCCTGAACTCTGCTCATGTTGTAAAGTCAAAATTGCTCACTTTTCAAAATACCATAAACAAAATGTTAGTAAATGTTTTTTATATAAATATAAGAATTTTACAAAAGTTTACCATATTTTGTTTGTAATAAAGTATTGAAAGTGCCATTATATTATCATTTATTTTGTTTTGTCTACTTATGAAGTGTGTCAGTAAAAATTTTAAATAATAAAGTAAATCCAGTAGAATCCAGAAGCATACTAACTAGTGTTTTAGTAATATTCAAGATGTACTAGAAATTTAGTACAATCCAGAATCCTAGTACAAAACTAGATATTCCAATTTCTACCAGTAGATATTGGAATTCTGATTTGTACTGGATTTTGATTAGTTTAAATCAGAATTCCAATTACTACTGGTAGATGTTGATATTCTGAATTGTACTAGGAGGATTCTGGATCCTGCTGGATTCCAATTTGTACTGTAATAAATATTTGAACTCAATTTTAGTGTGTGTTGTACATTTATTAAAAAGTTAATGACTCATGAACAGTCAAAAGTTATTTAGCCAAATGAGACATTGTTCTTATGATCTTTTATTTAAAACAAAGTGTAGGATGATTTGTTTTACTTCAATTGTCTTGATTTCATACCGAAATTATAATGCTTCAATTGTATTTTTAGTCCCAGAATAGATTCAAAGTTCCTATAGGTACCAAGTTTTATCGAGTGAAAGCAAAACCATGGGCAAGAGATTCATCACCAAGAAAAGGGGACTTCCTGTCTGGATCTTCATCACCAAGAAAAGGGGACTCAGCTTCTGGATCTTCATCACCAAGAAAAGGGGACCCAGCTTCTGGATCTTCATGACAACAGCTTAATTATAGAATTCATTAGTTATAGATATCAAGTGTTCATGAATTGTGGGATTTAAAAATCCCTGACTTTTTAAAGAATACAAAGACTTTCATCTTGTGTATTTTGGGATAATTCTGCTTTTATCATTCAGATATTTCTGTGTTTAATCAACAAAATATTATGTCAGGTAATTTTATTTATTTGACTTTTTTCATTACAAGTAGAATTGAATTTAAATTTATTAGCTGCTTATTAAACTTTTAATCAGAATGAAATTTATTGTTTTGAAATATATGAACTTTACAACAACTCCAATATTTTTTATGTAAATTTACCATTATACTTGTTTTAAGTTGAAATTGTGTATTTGGAATTCCCCAGTTTGGTGTGAATATGATGTGACCATCTTGACACACTATTGTGTCCACTGCTGTGTGAAATTTTCAATACAGATTATATTGTTCATTACTGTAATTTAAAAACAAAGTTATGGCATGCATTCATTACGGTGAATTGATGACCACTGAAAAAATATGGGATTAAATCAAAGTGATTTCTGGAAAACAACCACTACAAACTTGATGTTTTTAATTATGATATACTTACCATTGTGTATTTTTGTCAGTAGTAAATATTTGTGAACACTTGATTGATAAAATATCTGTGATGGCATTAAAACACAAAGAGTTGTAATCACTACACTTTGGTTGTTGGATGAATGATTTATTTTTGTTTACTTGTTTGTTAAGTTTGTCATTTGTTTCATTGTCTTGTGTTGTTTGTTTTTTGTTTTAAGTTTATGCACATTTCCCAGGGATGTTTATTGATATAAGTGTGAATTTTCCCATAATAATTATAGTTATATCATTACATGTTTCATATACTAGTATATTCTTTGTCATAAGATCTTGAAGTTGTCTCAACATGAACCATGATCTGGAGATTTTTACACTTTTTTTTTTAAATTTGAAAAGTTCGAAAAATATGCATGAACTGGAAACATGTATTTGATAAAAAAAAATTTACTAATTTCCTTGCAATTTAAATTGTATGGTGTCTTTTAAAGTACTTTCATAAAGAAAAAAACAACAAAGAATAGTCTTTTCATTCATGACTTGTATGTATATTTCCATTATTTATTGAAGTGAAAATGCATCAAGGTTTGAATAGTGTAGAGAAAGTATATGTAACTTAAAAAAAAATCAGTAATTGTCAGTATTTAGAAATGAAGCATGCATGTTGTGCTGTATTACAAAGGAATGTTGGTATATGTTATAAACGAAGAAAAAAAATTTGGGAAAAGCTTTAAGTTTTTGTATACAAAGCTTCCATTATTATCTTTGATAAAATTGTCAGTGATTGCTAATATAAACATGGCTATATATTTTTAGTGCAGTTATATCTTGTAAATTTAAAGAGCAGAAATAACATTTTTTGTCTTTCAATATCTACCCATATCTCTCTGATTTATTATTTTTTGACATTAAGATAGGGTTATATTAACCACAGACAATCCTACACTAATAGTCACAGTCTGCATCACTAGCATTGATAATTACAGCATTTGTTTTACTGACGAGACTGGCTTCAAAGGGAGTACACTATTTGCTTGAATATCACTGCCTTGTAAAGATCAACAACAAGCTCTGCTGAAATATACTTTTTTCCACATACACTTTGTCGTAGATTCTACCAACAAATGAAACAGAAATTGAAATCTGACATATCATACAAAACTTGAGAATATTCCGCTTTAGAAAAATTGTTTTAGCTTTCACTTTTAGTGATGCACATTTCACTATAAAAATGGCAATGTGCAGTTTAAGAAAATGTTGATTGAAATATTTATATGTTGGAATACAATTTTAAAATTTAGATCATTAAAAATTTATCTGCTTTCACTAAAAATGATTTGAGGGTTGGTATTCTTTAATCTTTTAAAATTAAAATTGTTTTGAATTTTATATATTTATCTTATATTGTGATTAGAGTAATTACCCAGTTGTGTTCTTTGTTTTCAGTGATACTAAAGCTACTCTTATAAGAATGATTTCACCAAGATGTAAGGTCACCATATTTAAAGTTTTTATGTTTAATGTCTTCAGTTTTTAGGACAAGGACAAGATTTAAATAAGGAGAAGTTGTTGTTAATGACAGGGGCTACTGTAACAACATATTTCCCTTGATATTAAGATGTCTTTCAGTATGAATTGGGTGTGATAGGGCTTTTTTTTTTAGTTCATTGCTGTGTATAAAGTGCTTCCAAAATCAGTTATAATATCAAATAATTTATGTATACTAGTTGTAATGTTCTAGGATATAATAAAACTCATATTATGACATATTGTTGTATGATGTATATATTTCAAAATAAAGTATAAGAAAGTGTATTGGCCTTTCTCATTTGTAATTAACAGAGAGCAAATTTAGTATGTACAATACTCACACCCATATCTAAGATGCCATGAAAACAACAAGAAGAAACTTTTCTTTCTAAAATATGAAGTTTTATTAGAGTAAATAACAAGTCATCTCTGAATATTTAAACCAGAATAAACATTTCATCCTTGAATTGATGGATGACTTCCAAATCTTTCACAAATATGAAGTTATGTCATTAAAAGGTCATATTCTTATACATATTAAAATTTGGCAACATCTGTTCATGGGGTCATGGTGAATTGATTAGCATCATAGACTGATTATATTCAAATCTAGAAGTTGTAGGATTATTTAACTTCACTAAACTCTTCCTCTAGTTATGATTTGATAAGTCATGTTTCACAAGAATGTCCCTCAATATGTCTTTCAAGTGTTGCTCTTTTAATGCAAGTTGCCCACAAAGAGAATAAAGATTTTTACAACTTTGAAAAAGTACAACAAAAATGTAGATTGCTTGAGTCTTTAGGCTTTTGTTGTAGGCAAGACAAATAAATCTGACAAATAAAATAAAGAGCTGCGTCATGAGCGCATGATATGTCTCTTTTTCAAAGAATAAAGTTCCATAACTCCTCAATGTCATATCAGAAATTTATAAAAAAAACTAAAGGGAGGTTATTTTAATAGATATAAAACGGTCACCAAAGTTTCATGAAAACTGCTCAAAGCACTTTTGAGATATTGTCCGAAAACCGTCAATAGATATAAACTAGAGGCTCTAAAGAGCCTGTGTTGCTCACCTTGGTCTATGTGCATATCAAACAAAGGACACTCTCCAACATTGTAGACAAGAATAAACTTCATGACAAAAATCTCTATTTTGTTATGCCCCTGCCGTAGCGGAGGGGGCATTAAGTTTTACCCTTGTCCGTCTGTACGTCCCAAAATTGGTTTCCGTTCTCTAACTTGAGTTTGCCTCAACCAAATGTTATGAAACTTATACACAATGCTAATTACCACAAAACACAGATCAAGTTTGAATTTTGGTGGCGTCACTTTAACCGTTCAAGAGTTATGCCCTTTATAAATGGAAAAATTGCAAAAGTTTTAGTTTCCGTTCTCTAACTTAAGTTTGCCTCAACCAATTGTTATGAAACTTATACACAATGCTTATTACTACCAAATACAGATCAGGTTTGAATTTTGGTAGGGTCACTCTAACCATTCTAGAGTTATGCCCTTTATAAATGGAAAAATTGCAAAATTTTTAGTTTCCGTTCTCAAACTTAAGTTTGCCTCAACCATATGTTATGAAACTTATACACAATGCTAATTACTACCAAATACAGATCAAGTTTGAATTTTGGTAGGGTCACTCTAACCGTTCTAGAGTTATGCCCCTTTATAAATGGAAAAATTACAAAATTTTTAGTTTATGTTCTCACACTTAAGTTTGCCTCAACCATATGTTATGAAACTTATACACAATGCTAATTACCACAAAACACAGATCTAGTTTGCATTTTGGTAGGGTCACTCTAACCGTTCTAGAGTTATGCCCCTTTATAAATGGAAAAATTACAAAATATTTAGTTTCCGTTCTCTAACTTAAGTTTGCCTCAACCAAATGTTATGAAACTTATACACAATGCTTTTTACCACAAAACACAGATCAAGTTTGAATTTTGGTAGCGTCACTCTAACCGTTCTAGAGTTATGCTCCTTTATAAATGGAAAAATTACAAAATTTTTAGTTTCCGTTCTCTAACTTAAGTTTGCCTCAACCATATGTTATGAAACTTATACACAATGCTTATTACCACAAAACACAGATCAAGTTTGAATTTTGGTGGTGTCACTCTAACCGTTCTAGAGTGTTGCCCTTTTATAAATGGAAAAATTGCAAAATTTTTAGTTTCCGTTCTCTAACTTAAGTTTGCCTCAACCAAATGTTATGAAACTTATACACAATGCTTATTACCACAAAACACAGATCAAGAATGAATTTTGGTAGCGTCACTCTAACTGTTCTAGAGTTATGCCCCTTTATAATGGAAAAATTGCAAAATTTTTAGTTTCCGTTCTCTAACTTAAGTTTGCCTCAATCAAACATTATGAAACTTTTACACAATGCTTATTACCACGAAATAAAGATCAAGCTTGAATTTTGATGGGGTCACTTTAACCATTCTCGAGTTATGCCCCTTTATGAATGGAAAAAAATGCAAAATTTTTAGTTTCCGTTCTTTAACTTAAGTTGCCTCAACCAAATGTTATGAAACTTATACACAATGCTTTTTACCACAAAACACAGATCAAGTTGAATTTTGTTAGCGTCACTTTAATCATTATCGAGTTTTGCCCCTTTATAAATCGAAAAATTGCAAAATATTTAGTTTCCGTTCTGTAACTTAAGTTTGCCCCAACCAAACATTATGAAACCTATACACAATACTTATTACCTTAAAACTCAGATCAAGTACAAATTTGGGTGGCGTCACTTTTATCGTTCTTGAGTTATATCCCTTTATAATTTTGTATGCAAGCGGGGCATCATCTGTGTCCATGGGGACACATTCTCCATTTATTGATCTTGTGTTACTGATCTTTTAGTCTGTTTAGTTTCTCTCTATCTTCTTTAGTTTGTGCTCAAAACACAAAAGAGGGTAAAAAAAAAATCCTAATTTAAGGGCAATTACTCCTATGAAAAGTGACAGTCTACTAACTATATCAGCAAAATTTGACTTTTTAATAGATCTTGCCTTGCTGATCAATTTTATACGACTGCAAAAAATTTTGTGGTCGTATATTGGTATCACGTTGTCGTCGTCCGAAGACAGTTGGTTTCCGGACAATAACTTTAGTAAAATTGAATAGAAATCTATGAAATTTAAACACAAGGTTTATAACCACAAAAGGAATGTTGGGGTTGATTGTGGGGGTTATGGTCCTAACAGTTTAGGAATAAGGGGCCAAAAAGGGGCCCAAATAAAAAATTTCTAGTTTCCAGACAATAACTTGTGGAACGGTGTATGGATCTCTCTGAAATTATACCACAAGTTTCCATACCACAAAGGGATGGTTATGATTTGCTTTTGGGGGTTATGGCTCAAACCGTTTAGGAATTAGAGGCAAAAAGGGGGGAAAACAAGGGTTTCCTGGTTAATGGAAAATTACTTAAGACAATTTAAAAGCAGTGTAAGGGAGGTAATCCAAACACAACGTTTTGATTACCTCCCTTACACTGCTTTTAAATTATGTATAAAGAAATTTTGTATTGTTTTGAGATGATTAGCTGTCAATTTATTTTTAGAAGTTAATATTAAGGAATATTAATTTTAGCCATGATTATGTATGTCATTTTCTATTTTAAGAGTTTTATGATGTATTTCAATGGGTAATTATGGTTGCAAACTCCATTGGAAATTTGAATTGAGATTATGACCATATCTTGAGGGAAAGAATTTTTTTTTGGGGAAAAAGGGGGGGAGGTGAAAAAAAATTGGGGGGGGGGTTCAATACACAACAGCATAGTGTATTGCACAAAAGCAAAAAAAAAGTGGGTTTATACAAAATTCTCAGAAAAGGTCCTGAATATGTTTAATTGTCATTTGTTCCATGTTTGCATTGTGTTCTGATTCTTTGTAAATATTTTTAGGGTAAATTAATTTATGTTTGATGTGATGTTGTACTAATCTTATTTTAATTGTCTGTTGTTTATACTGTATCTTTTCTTTGGTAAGTGTTAGTCTGTTATGTAATAGGGAAATGTGTGTTAAAACCCGAGTTAACATCCAACCTGATACCTTCTTGCAAATTTCTTAGACCTGACAATTAAACCATCCTGATGTAACTGTCTGCCCTATATTTCAACTTTTGCTAATAAATGTGTCAGTGAACAAAATCCTCAAAGTCACACATAATGAGTTCATAGTAATTTAAATAATTTAATTACCCCTGATATCTTTCAGAACTCACCATTTGAACTCATGATAAGTAAAATTAAGGATTTAGTGCTCACATCAATATTATTATCAACCTAATTTTTTCCTGTTATATCCTATCTTGTAAATAAACTCCTGGGAAATATTGTGTAGCAATGCCAGTGGTATCCATGTTTGAATTAAACATTAATCATAATTGAATTAAAACTTTTATTTTATATATACATCACTAATTTGGCCCTTGGGGAATCTACTCAGCTAAAAATTTTATTTTTTTGCTCCATGCCTAAACCAAAAGCCTAGCTATTTGCATACTGAAAAGTAGCAAAGTATAGACCCCTGGCTTGACATCACACCAATCCAATTGGAACGATGGTTCAAAATAAATGCGTGAGGCTATCATGCCTAGAGGCTATCATGCCTATGAGGCTATGAGGAAGCCTATAATGAGGCAATGAGGAAGCCTATAAGGAGGCTATGAGGAAGCATATAAGGAGGCTATGAGGAAGCCTAGTAGTGTTGATGTTGAATTGGTGTTGGAATGAATTTGTATGAAATTTGACAGTTTATCCCCAGAAATTCTTGGGGAATGAGTGAAATTTTTGAAACAACCAGTGATAAAATTTCATAAATGAAATCTATAAATCTGCTAAAAACTGTGCTGAGATTGATTCCCCTGTCATGGCAATATTGAAGGTGAAAGGAGGGGTCGGTGGGTGGCAAGTTTTTAGCTATAACACTATTAGAGCCAAGATTAGTCTAATAACTGCTTAATCTGCATTTAGATAAATGGATACTCAAGGCAGCATACACAGGTTTTTAATACACAACTTCTTAATGGGATACTCCTAAGTGGGAGGAGTTAAAACTGCACCCAGGTTAATGTATAAAGAACAAAGGACAAAGGAAGTCAAATGCCACAAGTGGTCACTAATTATCAAGACATGTATATTTGTATTGGAACTGATGTAATTAAACCTCCTGCTAAGAACATGTGATAAACTTCACATCTAACTGATTGAGATATGATAATAAATCTGTTTCATCTCAACAGTAAAGAAAACACA